TCTAGCTATTGTCTTCACAACTCCTACCCTGAAGTCCATTTCCGACATTTTGGTTATATCTGTATCCATTTGTAAATCTGTGGCAGATGTCACAGTCTCTGAGTCTTTCCCATTTGGGGGGTTCCACCTCCTAGTCATTCTGTTGACAGATAATTGAGGGAATGTACAGAGTCCAAATTATCAACCACAACCCAAGCAAGATGCACCTGTTTTATAGGGACCTTAGGGTTGTCGGCCTCTTGTTCTCCCAGCCTGTTTTCTGGGGGAGGGGCCTGCTGGGCTTTTACTCAGGCAACCCTGTTTGGGGTTTGGTGCAGAGTTGCTCTGCACCCTGTGGGGGAGGGATGGGCTCAGTGAAAACTGGTTTTTGGGGGGCTTTTGCTCTCTGGCGGCTTTCCCTGGCAGCTTTCTGAGTCTCTTCCAAGAGTCAGAGCAGAAGAGATCACTTCCAACCCTCTGCCTTAGAGCAGAGAGATCGCAGTCTGCTCTTCAGTGAGCTCTCCAGACCACACTATCTGCGTTTCTGTCTATGCTGCTATAAACTGCAGCATCCTGGGTTGTGTGCCCCTCAGCAGCACTCCCAGTCCTCGCCTCCAGGTCTAGGCACAGGGGCACATCTCCGCCCTTTGTGCTTCTAAAGCCACCGGCCACCCCCAGTCTGGGTTTCAGTCTGGGGCGCTGCCCCAAAGTCCTTTCCCTGCTGCTACTGGTCTGTGAGTCTGTGCCCCATCCCCAGCGTGGGAGGCTATCACTCACCATTGGTGTAGGATTGCCACAGCTCCCTCACCCTTCCATTTATCTTCCGATATCTGCCCACAGAATCAAGGCTCCCTGCTTCATACCTCGAAACCAACCGCCTGCCATATTCTGTCTATAGAGATCCAGATTTATCTTCCTACATCTCAGGCTGATTTCGTGGGTGTTCAGAATGGTCTGGTAGATATCCAGCTCAATTCCGGGAACTGGTTGGAATAGGGTCCCCTAGTCCTCTGCCATATTTCTCTTCTCCACCAAGAAAAGGTGTTTTTGATCAAACACTGACAGCAGTCAGCTGCGGTAGAAATAGGAAAGGAAGTCAGATTTTGGAAAGTAGTCTCGCCGAGGTGCTGATGAACACATTGTTAATACTAAGAAAGTGTATTTATTCCAGGGGAAAGGAAAACAGTCACTTTGATATTTGTGGATTTACTGTCAGGATTGTATAGGCTTAAGATGGCATCTAAGCTGCTGACAAAATTCTGTGTACTTTTAATGTTATCGGGCTTTAAATACAAGTCAGAGCCAAGTTAGACTGTTTCCTAGACAGACTGAATAATTTTCATATTATCAGGCCATTGGAGGCCAGAATAGGTGCTCAGTAGAAGTCTAGAGGGAAATGCAGAGGCCAGTTCATGATGAGCACTAGGCACAGGTATACCCTTCTCCCCAGTAAAAAGTGTAAATTTACTCTAAAGCCAACTCTGCCATGTTGAAATTAGTCAACAGTTAGCCTTTCAGCTTCTCAACACTTGTCATCACTGCCAACTGGATATTTTAACTTCCAATTTTGCTTCATTCTCTACAAACACATCCCTTCCCTCCCTCCCTCCCTCCCTCCCTCCCTCCCTTCCTTCCTTCCTTCCCCACAGTCTCCGTCCAACCCCACCTCCTCCTGAGTTCACCTGGGCTCTCCTGCCAGTGACCATCTCAACTTCCCAAAACATTACTCAAAACACAAACTGGCCAATCAAGACTGTGGTGTGGGAGAGCCCTCACGGACTGAATAAGGGAGCAGGTGCCTAGGCGCAGAAAGTGATTGGACACGGAGAGAAGAAACATAATCCTTGCTTTCTGGGACTCATAAAATGGGGAAACTGACACATGAGCAAGTACCTACAAGAATCAAGGGAAGAACCTAAATCAGATGAGAGAAGGAGAGAGCAAACATGACCGTGAAGTGGCATGTCCAGTACTTACTCTGCAGAATGCTTCACCTGATACGCCACTAGTCTTGCCCTGCTTTTTGCCTAAGAAAACTAGGATGAAAAATACACACTCCTCTTGCTATTTCATTTAGTAAATACCAAAATTATGATATTTTTAGTGATATTAGGAAGTTGATTCTGTAAGTTTCAGCACCCCCCCCAAAAAGATAGTAATATTTACAGGAAATTGTGTGTACATTGCTTTCTGAAATCTTCACTAACTTTTTGCTTCTTTTGAAGCAATGTAAGTAGAAGTTTAGAACCTTGGACCTATGGGTTCAAAACATCTCAGGTAACCTGAAGAGCATTTGGTTAATTTTAGAAATGTACTTTTATTTATAGAGTGTCTTTTTTCCATGCCAACTTATTTACTATTTTGAAAACAAACAGAACAAACAGCAGCAAATCACACTTTGGTAAAGAAAAGCATGAACTGATTATAGGTCCCCAAAAGGGTATCACTTAACCAATGCATGTGTGTCCTTCTTACACCAATGTCCTCTTTGAACCCAGGAAGTGGCTGGATGAGATGGGTCCAGAGCTGTTTGCCTGCAGCAGAAAAGATAACCAACTATTACTTTTGTAGCTACATGCCTGTTCGTTGTTTTACCAAACATAAAAATGCCTTTGGTTTATTGGCTCATTTTGCTTTGTCAAATAGCTTTAAGTGCAGTTGTGAATATTCCTGTTTGTTCTCATGATAACATGAAAATTAGAACAGCTATAATGATCGCCATTTTTCACCAGTAAAAACTGAGGAATCGAGAAGATAATTCAGTGGAAAACAGGCAGAGCCACGAATAGTAGAGGCAAGCCATTTACAGAGCACTGCAGCTTCTTTTGCAGTTGTGTTCTTAGAAATCTATGAAACCAGCGTTTTCTTAAAAAAAATTGATTGATTGATTGACTGATTTTTGAGAGAGTGTGTGAGCCTGATCTGGGGGAGGGAGCACAAAGGAAGAGAGAGAGAAAGAACCTCAAGCAGACTCCCTGCTGACCATGGAGCCTGGCCCTGAGATTGTGCCGAAACCAAGAGTCAGATGCTCAACTGACTGAGCCACCCAGGTGCCCTAAAACCAACATTTTCTAAGATAAGCTAACTCACCAAGCTTGGTAAAGCCTCTAAGTTTTACCCTTTCCATGCACGCCAACATCAATGACAACAGCTGGTCCCAGCGACGTATCATCTTAGTGCATGCCTATGTTCTGATGTGTTCTTAGAATTTGTTTCTTTACAGCCTTATTGAAATCAGGCTTTATTTCTCCTGACCCAGTTTTTGCAATCTGTGTGTGTTTGCAGGTGAAAGAAAATGGTCTTAGGTCAGTTCGACCATCAAATAAGATGTCGACCATCACTGTCGACCATCAAATAAGATGAGGGAAAGGTAACATCACCATAAAATGGAGAGGTGCCTTCATTATCCCACACACTTTATCCCAAATGTCAGGTGGCTATGTAATTAGAAAATCTTCCATTTTCCTAAGTATTTGGAGTTGCTTTTGTTCTAGGAACTTCTCAACCTTTCCCTATTCTATGTAAATCAAAAGGCATCTAGAAAAGCATCTAGAAAACACTCAGCACTAACAGCAGCAAAGCAAGGAAAACCAAAACATTATAGACAGTGCTCATGTCCCACTCCAACATCAAATCAGCATTATTAAAATTGAGAGCTGTGGTTTTTTTTAAGATTTTTATTTATTTATTTGACAGAGAGAGACACAGCGAGAGAGGGAACACAAGCAGGGGGAGTGGGAGAGGGAGAAGCAGGCTTCCCACCGAGCAGGGAGCCCGATGCAGGGCTCGATCCCAGGACCCTGGGATCATGACCTGAGCCAAAGGCAGACGCTTAACGACTGAGCCACCCAGGCACCCCAAGAGTTGTGTTTCTGAATAAGTATTGATATAAGCATATTGTAAATGTTCAATAATTTGTCATGAGAGCAAAGCGGTAATAGCTAAGATTTTTCTACAATCAAAATAGTATGACTGAGCTCAGTCCTTTAAAGTAGGAATAAATGTACCAAGCACATCGATTATAAAAATCACACTAACAAATTAAGGTAGCCTAATTTTTAAAAAACTATATTATAAAAAATGGTTAACCAAATGGATCTGCCAGTTAAGAGAAACGTTAAGTATTTGACAATGATTTTGCTTTCTTCAAGAAGTGCAGATAGACTTTGGGATTATCAAAAGGGTGCTGACATCTTTAAAAAAGAGATTAGGTGGATGTCATGGTAACTCACTCATGATACATGTCTTTTTGTAAGTAGAGGTGTTCAACCATCACTATTAAAGCTGCTTCAGAGTACTATAATCACTACTCTTGACAGACTATTAATAGCTACTAGAGAACTTCAGAATTCCTGGGAAATCTCTGGAAATAATTACCAAACTATTACCATAGACTGTAAATATAGCTTCAAAATGCATTTCATAGATTTGCTAAAACAGATTTTAAGTCTGCCAAATGTTGTTGCTTTTATTTGTTGAGGCACTGAACGGAATATTAAAAGTGAAAAGCTAATGGTTGCAAGATTGGTACAGTAGGTGTGAATTGGACAGCACTGGTGAGTGGGGCCGCCCCCAAAGCACACGGGGTGAGAGCCTCTAAGCTCCACGAACAAAGCACGTGGCATGCTAGGGGCATGGCCAGTACCCACCGATGCCCCATGGGTGTACTAGTGAGCCAGTTGGAGAGAAAATATTGAGGATAATTAGAGATCGTGTGTAATAAAGTAGTAGATGGCATGGCTGTTGAATTTATCAATCTAGGTGGGAGTAAGCTGGACTCAAGTGGTCAGACTGGGTCTAGCTGTGCTGAGCCAAGAGCTCATTCAGTGCGCAGGATTTGGATGGATGTCCAATCAGCTTTGGTATCCTGTGACTGTTCTGGATTCCAGAACTCAAGTGAGAAAGGGAAAGTCTTGTTTGATTGTGTTGTGTTTTGGGGTTTTTCTTTCTTTCTTTTTTTTTTTTTGGTCTATTGTCTAACATATGTTACTAGAATTCTTTTTGACTCTGACTACCCTTAGGTGGTTAGACGATGCTATTATTGATGAGATCACACCCAAGCTGATCGGGGATCGCCCCAATACTTACACGTACACCAAGGCCTTGGGAGAGATGGTGGTGCAGCAGGAGAGCAGGAACCTAAACATTGCCATCATAAGGCCCTCCATTGTGGGAGCAACCTGGCAGGAGCCTTTCCCGGTAAGCCCACTCACCTGGATTCCTTGCTTTGCTTCCAAACCAGCGTCTTTCTTGCCCAATTACTTTCCGAAGAGGTCCTTTACACTCTCTCTCTCTCTTCTCAGAATGTATAGCTGAGTGCAGCATATCAAATACGAACCCATTATATTAGTACAAAATTCCACATTTGGTTCAGGATTTATCCAGCATGAGGCTCCTCTGGGGGTTACACTGCCTATCCTAGAGTTGGGTGGAGGTTTTAAATTAGCTTATCATTAACCCTCATCTGAAAATTCCCATGGGATAGTTTTAGTTCTTGGCTTCCCCACTTTTAGTTTAAATATACCAGAATGCTCTTGATGGCCAAATTGGTAGTATTACATCCATCAGGGTAAATAAGAATCACAAAGTTAACAGAAGGTTCTCAGTTTAGGAATAATTTTTGCATCTGTATACTGCTCTATCCTTTTGAAAGTACACTGAGTTTATACCATCTTTTTTGAAGCAATTCTGTGAAGCTTTAGGACCAAAAAAATTTGAGCTCTAGGGCTTACTGAAAATGCAGCCTCTTGAGCAGTCTCGTCTGTAAAACTGGGCTAATGCTATTTTAGCCCAATACTGGACCCACTCTGGAGAGCTGATCAAATGAAACTGTGTACGAGGAGTGTTTAGTGTAGTGCCTGGTCCCTAGTAGAACAAATATTAAGCCCTCCATCTTCTCTTTTCTCCCTCCTCTCCTATTTACACACACATTTTGACTTTTACAGATAAAGAAACAGACATAATAAGGTCAACTGACTTGCTTAGGGCTTAGTAGACATTTTCCTCCAACTGCTCCAGAACATATTCTTCCTGCGAATATCTCTGAGCAAGCCAATACAAATAGAATATGGATGGTATGACTTTTCAAATTTTCAAGAAATGGATCCTTCCTACAAATCATATTTGATATGTAGTATTCCCCTGGAGAGTGAAAATCAGGCCCGAGGTGAAGAAAAGTGATGGTTAATGAATTGGTTAGCAAGTTATGATATTAAGACAAGGTTCAGTTTAACCTCTAAGATGTCATAAAACAACCTGAAACTCCCGATGACTCCTCCCAGGAAAAAAAGATGCTGGCAGAATTTTCATTCTTGCACAAGTGCAGAAATATCCAGTGCTTTTCCACTGATCTTTGTGATCTTAGATATATTGCATTAGACTGTTCTATCAGCTGGGGTCTCAGTGCTCTTGTTTGAAACTTACGAAGATCAGACTGTAGACGTTGCGGATGTATTATAATTTTCTGACATGTGTAACTAACAGAGATCTTTTTTCCTTATAGGGTTGGGTTGATAACTTAAATGGACCTAGTGGGCTCATTATTGCGGTATGTATGTATAATAATGTAGAAATAACTCCTTGAAAGGTAGTGGAGGAATGGTAACAAAATGCCTAGTGTTGGTTTAGCTTCATTGATCCCAAACCATAAATGTTACTTTAGTAACTACTATTGAAGCCACTTAATCTCAATTTTGCTGATTGGGAAATAGAGGCATGATGAAATTACTTTTATTATTTGTAGATTTTATTATCAGGAAAACAGAGGTACTGTGATATCCTCAGTTACTATTTAGGAGTTTTGTATTTGGGAAGTCTGAGCCTCAAGGACCATGTCTGCATTTCCCTTGATTACCACAAGATGGGAGTGTTGCCTCCTTTTCACTATTTATTAATCGCTTGAATTAGTATAGCAAACTGGAGATGCAACAAAAATCACATTCTCAAAGATTATTTAACTCTTGATTATAATACACATTCAAGAGTTGATGTGTGTGGATAGAAATCTTATGTATAATAAAAATACATCAATAACTAGTTCTCAGCAGATACAAGAAAGAGAATCACCAATTAGAACAAATTTTTTGCATGTAAAAATTAATGAATACAGAAAACATTTTTCACCAATACTCCTCTCCCAGACAAGAAGAAATGTCAGCAGGGCTTCTAGGTCAGCAGCCCTCTGTGGGCGTCTTATTGCAGTGAAGGCCGGTCTAGCTGAGGTGAGGCGTGACCCAGCTCATAGTTCACGTGGAAGCATTATAGGACCAGAACTGCCTCTCTGCTCTTTAGGACAATGAATAGGAATTCAGTCTCTCCCTGAGTGTAAATCTTATTAGAAATGTCATGCTTCAGACTGCTTCTGTTCCTCTCAGAGCTAGGGCCCACATGAACTAACATACAAACATAAGAGTGAATTATGACTACTTGTCAAAGACAGTGGCAATGAACTTCTGATTTCTTTCTAGCAGCCCCTCTCTTTTTGTTCTCTACCTGCCTTCAACTCTTTCGTCTTTAAAGTGTAGTTGGGGTGAACATTTGGTAACTTAGAACATAATTATTTTAAGATGATCCTAGAGTGAGTTTTATTATATTATTTACAAAGCTGCACATGGATGCAGCTTTTCTAAACCTTTTCACTGATTTCTTACAAACAAAGGAAGAGGAATCAGTCACAAGAAAATAGAAATTAGGAACACAGGAAAGTGCTAACCACTGCAAATCAATGCTGGAAATATGAAGGGTATCAATAACTTCATAAAGTCAATAAACATGACTATTAACCTACTTATTTGTTGGCATGACTTATTTATTAATGTGAATAATTCCCAATTCTTCCATTTATATAACATCTTTGAAGTGAACGAAGATACTTAACAAAAAGTGGTGGCCTTTTCCCAAGTAATAAAGAGTGTTTGTGGAATGGTAGAATTTTATTCATTTTAAAAATGTTTCTTAAACTTTTAGGGTCTACTATTGTTTGTAAATTAGTGAGAACTAGCAGAAAATGACTTCACTTAAGAAATGGTAAACTAAGGGACACCTGGGTGGCTCAGTCAGTAAGTGTCTGCCTTTGGCTCAGGTCACGATCCCAGGGTCCTGAGATCCAGTTCCGTGTCTGGGCTCCCTGCTCAGTGGGGAGCCTGCTTCTCCCTCTCCCTCTCCTCCCTGCTCGTTCTTTCTTCTTCTCTCTCTATCTCAAATAAATAAATAAATAAATAAATAAATAAATAAATAAATAAATAAAATGGTAAACTAATATTAATGGGAAATTTGGGAAACCTTAGTTTTTAAGATATCTTATGAATTAATTTTTAAGTGTGAAAAACTATCCTTGGTGTTTGTTAATTAACTAAACATATTAACCTCTCACAAATTTGAGGAACTCCACTCCCTAACAGACCCCGAGGACCTCTATGGAAATGCTGTCATTTGAGATGGACTTGGCCGGGGGGTTGGATAGGCTCAGAGAAGTCAGCCTTAGCCCGATAACCTAGTAAGCAGCAAGTCAGTGTTAACTATTATTATGAGCAGCATTAGTATTAGCCCCAGCTGTTACTTAAAACTTGGTTCAGTATTTAATGTTCTTTTTCCTGTGCAGGCTGGGAAAGGGTTTCTTCGGTCCATAAGAGGTGCTCCGATGGCTGTGGCAGATTTAATTCCCGTTGATACAGTCGTCAATCTCACCTTGGCTGTGGGATGGTACACAGCCGTTCACAGGTGCGCATGCAGAAGCCAGCTTTCAAAAATTTGATGAGGAGGAGGGTGAATATGTTAGGTTTAGTTTCAAAATAAATGCATTTGACTGTAGAAGACCCCAAATGTCAGAGAGAATCGGTCTCAATATTTTACATAGTTCCAAATGTGCCATCACGTATGCATGGAAGTATTTTATAAATACTGCTTCGTATTTTGTATAAAGTAACAAACTCTAAATCATTTAACCTTAAAATTCTAACCCAAAAAAGCTTTTCTTTCTTTTCCGTAACCTAAAATACAGCTCCCTTTTTTAAGGCAAAGGAGATAAAAGTGGGTGAAATAAGGGCATCTTTTATATTTTATACAGCTGCTCATTTCCTGATATATGCCAAAAGTTCCTATCACCATGGGGGGTGGGGGTCTATTTCCTAGTACAAAAAAAAAAAGTTGTTTGTATATTTGACTCTGTTTGTAAATGGCAAACAGAATTAAATTTTTCTTATTTGAAGTCAGCCATTTAGTTGTTTTCCAATCCAGCAGGGCTGAACTGGACTTAGAAGAAAACATAGAGCCTATATTTTGCCCAATAAACATGTCTAGAAGTTAACAATATGATCTTTCTCATTGTCATGGTACCTCCATTTGCTCCCTAAATACATCAACTTATTTGAGCCCTCTTTCATATGCACATGCACACTTTCCTCGTCTTCTTCCATTTTGCATTTTTACCCAAAGAAGGAACAGAAGATGGAGCGTTGACCTAGTTATAGGAATTATTGAAACATCCTTGCCTACATGTTGTTTTTCCTTATCTTTCATTCGTCCTCCATTTTGTTGTATTTATTTAATTTTTATTTCATTTTCCAGACCTAAGTCAACATTAATCTACCACTGTACATCTGGTAACCTCAATCCTTGTAATTGGGGCAAAATGGGTAAGTGCCTGTAGAGACGTAACTACATAACTATTAGCATCTGCCCGCACAGTTTTAGTGTCTACCACAGGGGAAAAATGTGACAAAATGTGTCTTGGAGCTTAGAGTCTAATGGGAGAAAAAAAACAAAAAATAAGTAAAAGATAAAATAGTAATTATAAATGTGTAAGAGTTAACTAGAATGTGCTGTGGAGCATCAAAGAAAGGGGGTTAGTGGGAATAATGTGCATGATTGTAAGCAATAAGGGGTCCACTGGCTATAAAGATTTTAAAAGTAGATAAAACCAAGTAAAAGTCAGCAGTTATAAGTAACGTCAGTGAGGAAATGCCCCTCGTGCTGAGGCAGGGGCTGCTCACGCACACACACGTCCTTTGTCCCCTGGTCCCCTGGCTACATCACTGCAACTGTGAGATCATCAATAACCAAGTAGATTTAAAAGAGTTCAATAATGCTACCTTTTGTTATTGAGTCAGTGATACTCTTCATCGATTTATACAGTGAGCCATAAGTGTAACCTCGAAAGTATCTTGTTGAATGGCAGTAATTAATCCTGCATGTAATTGAAAATTAGCTAACCAATCTTGTACTCCTTTGTCAATTTAGGAGTTGGTTTTCTGCAAATATCTGAAACTTTGAGATCATCTAGTTTTATTTAGGTACTAGATATAGAAAAAAATCACATGTACTTAATTTGTTAGAATCTGATTTCCATTTCAGAGTACTCTGCTATGCTATTCTATTTGTAAAGTTGTTACTTCAGTAAAAATGAAATTACTGCCATCAAAGTTCTTTAGATCATATATCTAAATAATTCTGAAAACATTTGGAAATAAAAATAAATCTCCTCTACCTCAGTAACAGGATTAAAAAACAAGCATTAATAGAAGCAAAGAAGATATGTTAAGCTCTTAAATAAAAAGATGCTACATGTAAATTCCATTTCTGAAATTCAAGTCTTCTTCCATGCCAAAACCTCTTATTATCTGTTTATCAAATTATACAATGTCATAGTTGAAAGTAATCTTAAAAATAATCTAGTGGCCTTGCTTTATTTTATATATGAGGCCCCAAGAGAGTAAAAGATCTATTCAAATTCATATGGAGGGCTCGTACCTCAAACAGAAGTAGAAGACAGGTCTCTGGCCTCTGTGCAGTACCCATTCCAGTAGTGATTCTTAAAAGTGAATATGAATCCCTCTGGGAGGAAAAAGAGTCAGATTCCTAGGTCAGATGTTTCTTGAGAATCTCTTCTGTATAAGGTATATATATTTTATATAGATTTCCAAGTAATATACTTTAAGGAGGACAATAATCATATTACCATAATAACTGATATCTTCATCATAATTGAATAATGAACTTAGGTATATTCTTTGAAAATTTTACATAGATAAAATCAACATTGAATTGGAATTAATATCATTTGAAAAGAATTATTTTACAAATGTACATTAAAAGTTTTTAAACTTTTATCTAGGTTTTATCTACATAATTTATCTACATAATAATACATCTACATAATTTATCTACATAATAATATTAAAAATATTGTGAAAAAAAATCTGGAGACAAGAATGGATGGACAATGGAGTCTGGGATATTCCCAGAGAAGCAGAAATACCAAAGAAGTAAAAGACTGGTATCTAAAGTGAACCAACACAAGGGAATCCTGCCTTAATATTCTCTTTTTCACTTAAACCTTTATGAAGCTTTAAGTAGCCCTTTATAAAGGTTTAAGTAAATATGAAGAAACTTTACTGATGGTTCTACAACTAATGATCCAACCTTGGAAATAAGGCCCTCAGGCTCTGTCTTGAGTCTTTCAGCATAGACTAGATAACCTGGGAACCAAATGATGGATTTTAAGTTTTTCTGAACAATACTTCACTGTATTGATTGAAACTATTTCCCCAAGAAGTTGTTTTAGATAAAGGTTTCAGGAAAAGGACCCAATTCAGAACCCATTCTCGTTATTTGATTTTATAGGTGACCTCTTGCCTGGCATAAATATCTTAATATTGTTCTCAGAGATTGATTCTTGACTCTACACAGCCAATCATTGGTCTTTATCATTTTGACCCATTGCAAATGCCCTCCACTACAGTGGGCTTATATGCTCCTAGACTTGTACTCTATTTTTTTCCCCAGGATTCCAAGTCTTGGCAACCTTTGAAAAAGTCCCATTTGAGAGAGCTTTTAGGAGGCCAAATGCAGACTTCACAGCCAACACCATCACAAGCCAGTACTGGAATGCAGTCAGCCACCGGGCCCCTGCCATCATCTACGACTTCTATCTGAGGCTCACAGGAAGGAAGCCCAGGTGAGAAGCCGGGTCAGTTGCTTTAAGAGTGTTGTTGCATGGAAGATTAGGGCCCCGAAGTCCTTAGCCCTTCTTTCATCTGGGGCTTGAAGGTGACAACTGAATCTTACATAAATTTGGGGCCAAATGAAGCAGTAGTAATGAGAATCCCCAAAGGGGCCCCTACCTTAAAAATCCTCTGTCATAATAAAGGAAGTTAAATGTTGAGAAACTTGTTTGGTGAATTCAGCAGGTAATCATCCACCCAAAAAGCAAAGCAACTGAGACTCTAAGTCTGGGGCTTTCTAAACTGTTAGGTAATCTTAAAATTGTGCAATAACGGTAACACACACACACACACACACACACACACACGGGATGACGTGGGATGATCTCGTTTTCATTCTCACAACAATCCAGAGAAGATATACTCATTACACCAATTTTACAAATAGGAAATACAAGCTAAGAGAAGAATATAGAGTAGTCTAGAAGTGGAAAAGAGGAAAGATCTGGAGAAACCTGAACTAGAGTTACTGCCACCTAGAGGTGAGTAAAGAAATTATAGGGGACAAGGTAGAATGAAATGTGCTGATGCTGAGGCAGCTCTGTCGCCATCTAGCTGTGTGATATAGGACCTATCCCTTTCTCTCTCTCTCACTTGAAGAATTTTCTATTGCGTCTGAAGAGTCATCATTATTATAATTACCAAAGGCAATCCCTGCAAGCAAGCATTGGAAGCATGAATAGCATTGCCTTCTATGCTAGTCTCTTTATAGGAAGAAGTCTCTCTCGGCATTTATTAGCAGTGCAAATGGCTAAAACTTAGGCAATGTTGCATTTATCCAAATTTGCAGAGAACTAGAGCTCATAACTCAGTAATCATCAGGTTCTTCTTGAGCAAGGTGAAAAGGAGATGATGTGGCTATGGGGAAGATATATGTATGGGGCTTATTAAATAAAGATGGGAAAAGAAGGAAAAATAAACATTATAGGCAGAAATGCTGAAGACTTTAAAATTTATGAGGGTTGGAAGGAGACCTGGATAAAGAGCAAAGTTCTGTAAGTAGGAAGGGAGCCAATAAAAATCTTTATGAATTTTGAGAAATTAAATTGTAATATTTGTGGGAAATGGGTAGGTTTCCATAGGAATTTTAAGAATCGTCTTTATGGCAGAAAATGCTAGAATTCTTTCAGACTCCCTTCCCAGGTATGTTTGTGTGTAATCTTCTATGCATTTACAACCATATATAGACATATATGAATATAATTTTACTTTGAGGTATGTGCATGTGTGTGTGTAAATCAAGCTTATATATTTTCCAAATTTTTTCACTAATTTTCCTTGAAAATCTAAGTCATTCTGCCTAGTGTTTTCTATTACAATTGGGTAATGAATATCAGTACACGTGCATTTTTTTGGGAATGTACCACTGAGTCTGGTGAGGATGCTGAGGAGTGTGACTGCTGGATTGGAAGCTATCTGGATTTTGCAACTACCACTAGGTTGCCCTAAAGGAAGGCTCTATCATTTTGCACTACCACGTCAGCATGGGGGCGTAAAAATGCGTTTTTAATTACCCTCGTCAATACTTGGCAAAAAAAATCAATCTTTTGACTTGTCAAACTAATGGCAATGAAGGGCATCTCTTCGTTACTTTGATTTGCATTCCCCTGATTGCTGGAGGGGCTGGGCTTTCATTTGTTCATTGGACATTCAAGGTTTCTCCTCTGTGAGTTGTCTGCCTCTGCTTCTCACCTATTTTTCTATTGGGTTGACCTTATTAACTTACAGAAACTCATATTTATGTGCATAAATATATATTGTATTTTCTCCGAGTCAATTTCTTATCTCATAGCTTTGATTATGAAGCTTTTTCTAATACAAGGGGACTACCTACAATGTAGGTTTTCTTAAGAGCATGGAGTTTAGAGTCTGACTTACACATTTAAATCCTGGCTTTACCAAGTCAAGGGCTATATGAGCCCTAAATTACTGTCTCTAATACCTAACTGCCTCACCTGTAAAAAGGGACAGTAATCATACCTATTTTATAAGGTTTTATGTAAGAGAGCATAGAATATAGTAATCACTGTCATTACTGAAGAAGTTTTAGATTTTTATGTGAAAAAAATGAATCACTTTTCCTTTATGGGTTTTACATTTTATGTGTTAAGAACTTCTGTATCTGAAAGTTAAAAATGTATTCTTTCTAAGAAAAAATACTATTATGCTGATATATTCCTGTATGTAGGATATCATTCTACAGTTATTTTTTTAAAAATTAAAATAAATTTCTTGAAGTCACATCAATGACATCAGAGTTGTAGGAGGGATAAAGTTTGTTGTCCATTTGGGCTGCTATAACAATCTCATAGACTGGGTTGGTTATAAACAACAGAAGCTGATTTCTGAGACTGGGCAGTCTAAGACCACGGTGCTGGTAGATTCAGCATCTGCTGAGGGCCTGCTTCCTGGCTCCTAGATAGCCATCTCTCTGTGTCCTCACATGCTGGAAAGGCCAGGAGAGATTTCTGGGGTCTCCTTTCTAAAGGGCACTAATCACCTCCCAAAGTCTTCTCCAAATACTATCACACTGGTGAGAATAGGTTTAAATCTATGAATTTGGAGAGGAGGGGGATATAAATATTCAGTCAATAGCAAAAATGTAAGATGCTTGTATCAGGGAATAATGAGTCTACCTTTTGCCTAAGAATCTCCCATGATACGATGAGGACAGTCCCTCGTAAGTCATTAGGTATATGGGCGTTAGGATTTGACCAGAAATAAGACCAAATTCCCAAAATAGCATCACAAGTCATTACTGGGTCAACTACAGTACACTACTGCTAAAACTGGCCTAAGATAAATGTTCTAAAGGCCAAATATTCTATAGGCCAAAGTGATTTGTAGCCAGATCTAGGTTGATGCATTCGCTGTGTGACCTTGAACCTGTTAATCCTTCTGTAAGATGAAGATAAAGGACATAGATCTACCTGTGAGGATCAAATAAGAGCAACTATGAAAGTTTTCCATAAACTGCTTTAAAGTTGGAAAATTCACACAGTGGAGCTGGTCCACGTCCTGATCCCAGGATGGGAAGATGCCAGCCATGGGAAGTAATGGGACACAGAGTGGTGAGATTACAAAAGCAGAGGCTTTTTCAGGTTGGTCAAAACTGGGTTGGAGTTTTCCTTTTGATGCTAATATTATCATGGCCACTTTATCTTAAGCTCACTTTGCCTGTTCATGAAATGTAGATACATACCTACCTAACAGATACTATGAGAACTAGCTGAGATAATTTTTTAAAGTATCAGCACGGTGCCAGACACTGGGTTATCACCTAGTAAGTTCTTTTCTAGTATCAGGCTGGGTTTTTTAAATGTTTGCTACTCTTAAGAGAAGGTAGTAAAGAGGAAGAGGAGGAGTTTGGTGGTTTTAAAATGAGTAATAGAACAAACTCCTTTAGATTCATCCCCTTCCTTCATTCAACAGAGAGTTAATGTGGAAAGAGAAAAAATACATGTTTTAAATGAGGAAATGGGGGAAAGTGAAATTTTTTATATTTTCTCGAAAGTAATTTGTCACACATCCTATAGAGTAACAGGGAAATCAGCCATCAGTGGTGTGCTGATATTTGTTCCTACCTGATCTTTACCCCAGGATGACAAAGATCATGAATCGGCTTTTAAAAACTGTTTCCATGATAGAGTATTTTGTCAACCGGAGTTGGGAATGGAGCACGTACAATACGGAAATGCTGATGTCTGAGCTGAGTCCTGAAGATCAGAGAGTAAGTAGAGTGCTGACAACCAACAGGAAAATCTTGCTCATTTGGAATTTAGAATTATTTGACCGAGAAAGCTGATGAATAAAGGAAGTTTTAGTTATATACACAGAATCTTTTTTGGGGGGGGGCCCTAAGAAAATCTGTCCGTGCTATTGATACAATTGCAGAACATAAGTTGATGTAAGAGACCCGAGTTCTTGACTTTCATTAGATCCTCACTGCTATCCTGCAGTCATATTTCACATACTTTGCTTCAATTCCTATTTGCCCTTGGTGGCTGTTTTCAACAAACCTCTATATTTTCCCTAATCCCACAACATAGGACTTCAATGAAATAATCATAATTTTACCGCTCATAAACACATCCACTCTTCTTGTTAAATCAAAATCATTCTGCATCTCCAAAGCTACAGTTCTTTCCTTCTTTTTAAAGCTAACCCCTCCTCACATGTGCATCCCAAGACTTCCCTCCCTCCCTCTAGCACACTGACAGCACAGCCAGCCTCCCTCTCCCTCTAATGACCTGTCTTCAACAATTCAGACTTTTCTCAAGACAGGCTTTCACTTTTAATTGCTGAGCATCAGTGCCATTTATTTCTTTACATTAGCTTCTGGGCAATTGCAGACATTAGGTCCTGAAATATTTGCATATTCTGAAATTCACAGATATAGAAATCTTTCATACTGAGTGCCAGGGTGGATCAGATGGTTAAGCATCTGCCTTCGGCTCAGATCATGATCCCAGGGTCCCAGGATCGAGTCCCGCTGCAGGCTCCCTGCTAGGAAGGGGGCCAGCTTCTTCCTCTCCCTCTGCTGCTCCCCCTGCTTGTGCTCTTTCACTGTCAAATAACTAAAAGCTTTAAAAAAAAAAAAAAAAAAAATCTTTCATACTTTGTATATGTTCCTAGCTTTTTTTCTTCTTGAGGAGTCAGGTGTTCCCCAAGCATATCCTTAGTTATCACTTTCTTGATTGACATTATCTACCGTTTTTTATTTTAAAGAATAAAGCATTTCTTGATTTATTTAGTACTTGGCAGCATGTAGAAGAGACCAAGTCAAACTGAGAAGGAAACGTTAGAAGGCCATAGTTCGCCTCACTTGCCAGTTAAGGCTCCTACATTCCAGCCTCACAGAGCATGATTCAAATCCAAAAACTATAAAGCCCTAGAATTACTTTGGGTCATGGGACCTAAGGGTTACTTGCAAAGCCAAACACCATTAAGTGTTACATTAAATATATTAAATAAACCAAGTGAGATTTAGAGATTTAGAAATAATTGCTGAGCATCTTTAAACCTGACATGAAATAGAGCTATGTTCAGAAATGTTTACATACTTTGTATAGCCAAAATTATTCTAAGCACTTGTTTGAAATGTATAATGGTCAAACTAGCTTATTAAAAAAAAAAGCTCTAGCTATTGTAAATTATTTTTAAAATTAGCTTCAAATCTCATATACGCTTATTTTTATTGCATTCTCTCTAAGGAATTTATCCATCTAAATAATTCAAAAGGTAATAGCTTAGAGTTTCTTTTTTGACATTTTACTATTTTAACCTAAAATAACCAAAAATTTTGTGGAAAAAAATTAAATCTATGGATTTAACATACGCTTTCAAAATATCTTAGCAAAGGTAATAGTCCTGAATAATTTGATATAATTGCCAAACTCTGGCTTAGAATTGTTTGATTCGCCCTATGTAATGAGGATTCCAAACTAAGGCCTCATTGAAATCTAACTTAGAAATGTGAAAAATAAAAGCCTCTTATATAGATGAATAAGTAATATTTAGTGCTACTATAGAAAACAAACATATCCAAAGTGATAATTACTTTTGGAAAGCATTTCAGCTGTTGGACAAGTCTATGAAGCTCTCTGGAACTCAATCTCATCTGCTTTGTTAACACTCCATATAATTTCACAAAGATTTAACTTGCAATAAACACATATAATAAAAGAACAAGAGAAAATGTCAAACTAGGGAAAATGTTAAAATGTGAAGTCAAGAAAAATAGAATGTCCATCCATTTGTAGTCTACGAGATCCTACCTAGTCACTGCAGTTAAGCAGGAAATTTGTTTTTGAGCTTTCTGGTGGCAAAGTGAAAGGGAAAATATAGTTTCATGGCATTCTATGTCCAAGAGGAGGAAATGCACTAGTGTTCCAAGGGAAGCACTAACTCTTACCACTTAACTCTAAATGTTTTTGAAGGGCTTCATTTAACAGCAACATAGTGGATAACATCTCTAAAGCAAATACAGAATATAAATTCTGTTAAACTTTTCCTTAAGAATTTGCTTATCCAGTTTACCTTAATCTGCACAATGAAGTAGGAAAGGATGGTAGGCCAAGGAAACACCACCAAAATTTAAGAATAGAAAAGAAAAGAAGCACAATTTGTTTTGGTCCCTAACCAGTTATTCCATCACTTTTAAAAATAATTAATCCCCATTTGCTTGAAATGAAAGTAGCTTTTAGGGCACCTGGGTGGCTCAGTTGGTTAAGCGACTGCCTTCGGCTCGGGTCATGATCCTGGAGTCCCAGGATCGAGTCCCACATCGGGCTCCCTGCTCGGCAGGGAGTCTGCTTCTCCCTCTGACGTGCTCTCTATCTCTCATTCTCTCTCTCTCAAATAAATAAAATCTTTAAAAAAAAAAAAAAAGTAGCTTTTACCAGACTAATGCCAGTTCCTTTAATTTTCCCTCACAAGACTTCCCAAAAGTCAAATATTTGTGCTTGACCTATGTTTAAATATTTCTGTGTAAATGGCAACCCATATTGTCAATGCCTTTGAAATAACAGCTCAAATAATCTCCTTTGGAGGGGTCCAAACCAAGTCTCTCAAACCAAATGTCACTCATTTATGTAAAAGAAACTTCATCAAAAGGACAAGGTGACTGTCTCCAGCAATGAAAATCTGGCAATCCATAATCTCTTCTTGCCTTTCAGGTATTCAACTTTGATGTGCGCCAACTGAACTGGTTGGAATACATTGAAAATTATGTTTTAGGAATTAAGAAGTACTTATTGAAAGAGGATATGGCTGGGATCCCAGAAGCAAAACAACATTTGAAAAGGTAAGAATAATCAGTCAGTTAATATTTATTAAGCACTTACCACATGTATCTGATTTTATACCAGACATGAAATTTGAGTGGGTGAGGGGAGGAATTAACATTTTTCGAGCATTTACGAACTTCCAGGTCCTTCCTTGTATACTCTCTTCTTGTAATACACTGTTTCACCTAGATTTCACCACACCCCTAGGAGGGAGGGATTATTCTGTTATCCCATTTTTTCTTTTTTTTAATCCAAAAACTATTTAGACTCAAAGAAGGTAAGTAACTTGTCCATGGTAAGACATGGGAAGTAGCGGCACCAGATTTGAACCCAAGTTTCTTCTACCACATCTTGTCATAATGTGATATAAAGAATACCCAACAAGCAGGAGACCTGACTGTGCTCTTTAACATGGGCAAATCAACCATTCTTCCAAGTCTTTAAACTGCCTTAAATTTCTTTCAGTCATGATTCCATATGGGACAAAGAACCGGAACAGTCTGATATAATTCTGTTAGAAGCAAAGGGTTTTTAATGCACAGATTATAAGCTTGGAAAAGTAAACTGCAAACAGAGAGGAACCTTGAATAGCAGACTGAGAACTTTAGAACTTACCTTCTACTGAGCAAGAACCAGTGAAGATTTGTGGTACGGTAATATGATCAAAGTATGTTTAAGAAAGATTGTTAGTCCTGTTTGTAAGACAGGTTAAAGCAGGGAGAGCTATGGGAATACTATGGAAACCTGATTATTCAGAAGGCATGTTGTGGAAATAACTGTAAAAATCAAAAGGTCATAAGGTCACGCCACGTACCTGTGAGCACCTAACAATTTGCTGGTCACACACTTAGGCTTCAGATAACACAGTTGGGTCTTTGGTGCTGTTTTAACTTTGATTCTATATGTCTGTTCCCCAGGCTCCGAAATATTCACTACCTCTTTAATACTGCCCTCTTCCTCATCGCCTGGCGCCTTCTCATTGCAAGATCTCAGATGGCTCGGAATGTCTGGTTCTTCATTGTGAGCTTCTGTTATAAATTCCTCTCCTACTTTAGGGCATCCAGCACGCTTAAGGTCTAAGAACACTGGGCAAGCTTTTATCTGGAACATTTTGGATACCTCTAAAACAGCAAACTGTGGTTCTCAAGATTAGGAAGTAACGAAGAATATGCCCAAGCTCATTACCTGTCAAATGTGTTGTCATGTCTTCATCTCTGTTTCTTACCTATATATTGTTTTCATTTCAGTGAGAGAAGGAAAGTCATATCCTAGCCTATAATCATACATATCATAGGAAAAATTATTTCCAGATTGCTTCCTAACACTCCATTCTGTGCCCTTGAATATAAAACACCAAAGTACATTTATCTGTCCATATTTAGGTTTTTTCCTTTGAGAGGACTAATTTTGACTCCATGAACATGGAAGAACACATGATAGAAGCTGAAATATGCTAAAAGGCAGTTCTAACCTTGGAATCATTCTGAGGTACCCAGTATAAAGGTTTAAAATCAAGATTAAGTTGAGGAAGAATGATCCTCATCTTCAGAAATACTGTAAAAGAAATAATTCTCTACTGAAATCTCAGCTTCCTTTTTGTGTTATACCATGAAGACTTGATTGAAGGCTGGGGGAATTGGAAAAGTGGGTTCACATTTAGCACTTCCCTCAACTACACCCACTTCTGAAATCTAAAAAAATAAATAAATAAATTATGTACAGAATGAGGGCTCAAACGTACATAGTTGCACTGGGACTGATTATGCTTGTAAGTAAAATCAGTTCTCATAATTTGAAACTGACAACTATTATTTCTAAATCTTTTGAATCACCCATTTTCCTGATAACCTTCTCCCAAGGGTTTCCTTTTTGTTCACCGAAGTCACCAAACCCCTTATATTTAAGCTTATTTTGCTCAGGCCTCAGGGTGAGAGTGACTGATGGGAGGAAGGTACTAGGCTAGAATCTTAAAAAAAAAAAACGGTCCCCTGATCTTTGCCAGTGAGGAAAGCAAAATTTTAAATGTAAATATTTAGTCTTTTTCTGCAAAGTAGTGAAGATTACCCTTCTGTGACAACCAGGACTTGCTAGTATCTTGATCATTCCACTTGCACAATGTTAACTGTACAATGTACAGCTGAAAAGGATAGACTTCACTAAGTGACTGTCAGTTTAGAGAATAGGTGTTATTTAAAAATATTTTATGTATAATACCAATGAATTAATGGGTAAAAACTATTTATTCTCAAATCCCTATATTAATAATATAACCATTATCCTGACTTTCCTCGCATTTGAGAGATCAGTGTACGTTGGATTGCAGCATTTCATGTTAAAAACATGAAATTATTCAAATATAGCATTCGGGACCTAAGTAACTAAAAATAATCACACCTACTAGAGAATTACACAAGCATAAACTGGTAAGGAAGGCAGTGATGCGTGTGCTTCCTTTCTGGACTCATTAGTAATCCTCAGAAAGCTGCACACGTAGTTGCAGTGCACAAGGCTTGAGGGCAGCTTCTAGTCCGGTATTACTGGAGATTTTTCTGAACACCATAAAGGGCATCTGGGGGTAACTCTTCTGGGCAATATCTTTTCCAATCTCATCTAAAGTCTGGGAACTTCTTTCCAGGGCTAACCAGCTCTGAAGCAAAGCACTTGGTGATCTTTAGTGTGAGATGTCTATATGATACTTCTGAGTTATGCGGATTAAGATACAAACTATAGATATGATAAAAATGAAATCAAGTTATAATTCAATGAGATTGGATAAAACACAATTATTCTAAGAATTTACTATCTTTTGATTATTCACCAATTCCATAAATTCCACTGATCAAGTATTCATTTTGACTTTTGATTAAATGAAAGTTTGAATTAAAAAGTTTTCCTCTTCTAGTGTTGTATCTTTAACTGCTAACTACTACACATCTCCTCTCTCCCCAGAGAAAAAAAGAATTTTCCAAAGAAACTACCAGATGAGTATAAATTTTAACACATAGATACATAATGCTTAAATGTTTTCTGATACCATTAATGGGGTTACACTTACACCCTAAGCATGTTTTATCTGTGGCATTAAAGAAATGACACAAAGTTCTGTGATGATTAAGCAATAAAAATAGGTATCGGTATGAAAGAAAATCCCTAATTATTTTATATTAAGACCACTTAATTGAATGCCTAATACATACAATTACAATGTAATGAGAAGAACCTTCTGTTTTGGGGGAAAAGAGGATGGATGGTAAGTACAAAGAAAAGGTATCTATGTTTCAAAAGAAGTTTTGGTAATCCCTATATTCTTTACCCACAACATACCTGATACCGTAATGAATATTTCAGTTAAAAACAGTCACCACCTAAAGCAATTAATACTAGAAAAAGTTGAGGCAGATGTGCATACAACTCAGAAAAAACATTTCTTAGATAACTTACTAATTTTATACTAACCCAACACCATCATTTCCAGTTAACATCTCATTCAAACAAACAGCTGATTTAGAATCTCAGGGTAGATAAACTGATCTGAGAAGGGACTAATACCCAAATAGTGTGTTATCTTACAAAGGACATAACAAAGTAGGTCAGCCTGAAGTTTCCAAACATCAGTAATTTTTAAAGTTCACAGGCATCACATCTGAATTTCCACAGGGTTATTTTTCTAGAACTGCAAATCTAATAATTATATTCTGGGAATATGAACAACTGTCTTTAGTAAAAAGTAATGGTTGTCCCATATGCCCAGAGGTATGGAAAAATGCTCACTTAGATTGCTTTGTAAATATATATTTTTTAATTTAACAAAATAAAATTAGTTGGTTTTAAGATGTAATTGGCTTGAGAGACAGCAGTGACCTGAAGTGGAGATAGTTATGGCAAAGGACGCTTAATTGAGTTTTAACAGCCAGAAACCCCTATTCTGGTACACGAATAAAAAAACGTTGGTGTGCCCCTACTTTATTTGATATACTGATTCCAACCTGGAACTATAAATGGGGGAGGGGAGATGTGAGGTTGGGCAACTTGTATCAATCCTACTTTAAAGAAATTAAAGGTAAGTCTAATACAAGAAATCACCAAGTTGATTTGCATAACTGCTTGAAAAGAGGAAAGATTCTAAAGTATTTTATAGTAGTATCAGTTGTTGCTGAAATTCTGCTTTAGTATGCAGCTTTCATCAATGTATACTTTCCCCCATATCTGCTGTTTTACCTTAAAATTATTACACAAAGTAGCATAAATGAATTATATATTTGGAAGAGTTGTTAATCTAATTCCTTCTGATAAACATCCAATACAATTAGTTGCTAAGATAAAACTATTTAAATGTTTCACTGATTATAATCTTATATTCAACTCTGTTGACAGTTTTATAGACTTGAGTCAACTGCTCAATTTGCATCACTCATTCACTTTTTAATATGAAAATACAAAAGAAATCCAATCTCATACAGTAATTTAGCTCCATCTGGAGCAAAAGCAAATGTAACAGTGATATTTAAAGACTGCCATAGTTTTCCTATGAGGAAAAAGAAGCTTAAATATGAGGAACTGAGGCTTATTTGGGGGTACATGATTGTAAAAGGACAAAAATTTATATTTGTCATTTATTTAGAATCCAAATGTTCAGGATTGGGACTCTAAATGAGTCTTGTGTATGCTCTTTTCTCTTAAAACAAAAAAACACAAGAAAACCAAAAAATCCAAAGCAGTTTGTTTCCTACTGTTAAGACAATGCAAAGTGATTTTATCACTAAAAAATATTTCAAAAGTAGGAGAAAACTACAATAAGGAAATACTTGGATACTGGCATCATACCATAATGTAGTGAACACATGGTGATCTAGTTAGGATAGTGCTGACAAAGGGTGACACACTTTGGCTTGCAGAAGGCTTGCAATAGCGCTCCAAACAGAAGGGGAGGGACTTAATTACTAGGTTAAAGGGCATGATGAAATTTTAAAAGTCCTCTGGCTCAGGTTTAAATAATCTTCAACAATCAAAAATATGCATCTTGAACTCAAGTTCAAGATTCAAAGTTTTAAATTTTGAAGCAGACAAGTTGCATATTTATATGCAAAATTTACTTTCTGGTACTTGAATTACTAACCCAGGACATAAAAAGACAGGATGCATAAAATATCCCTATTGATACCATCAAAAAATTATACCTTAAGTCATTCCTTTATGAATTCCAAAGTTAAGCTTGTATTAAAGATTGCAAACTTTGCTTGCATTAGTTAATTTTTCTATGAAAATTCAGTGCTATCATAAAATGTGGGGAAAATGTGGTATTAATCATCTAAATTGAGAATTAGAAGTAATTTTGTAATTCTAATACTGGGTTAAGCTTTTCCCAAGAGGTAGTTTGTACTGTACAAATACCGCAGCAGAGAATTATTCACCTAAATATTTCACATCTCTTTTTAGAGGCCAAAGTATACAAAACACAGTTTTTAAAAAACCTATTTCATATACATGGAAATCTCAACTTTTAAAATATTTAGGCTGGAATATATAAATATTATGAATACTCTAATAAAATGAAAAAGGAGGATTGAGTAATAAAGTTGGGTCCCTTACTGAGGGTGGTCCCTTAGGCACAAGCCAAAGCTCCATAATAAGTAGGTCAGAACAGTGTTCTCGGCAATGCAAAAGAAACACTCAGATCAGAAACTCCTAACAAATCCCGGTATGCAGGCATACTTCATCATTCACCATCCAAAAACCTGGTAAGAATCTTACTACTTTGATCTGACTTTGAGGAGTGTCAGGTAGAAACCTTTCTCAACTATTAAAGTGTAAATCAATGGCAAAGCAAGATTTTGCTTTAAAGAAATTCCTTTTATAGTCAGCTTTAATGGGACAGATTAATTACATTAAAATTTTAATAAGGTATTTGGAAAACATGGGAACAATTAAAAATAGTAAGCACCAAAATAATTTTAAAGACACTTAACTACTAAAATCCTAACTGAAAGAAAATTTTAAATCAATATTGTTTACCTCCCTTTAAAAAAAAACCAACCAACCAACCCTGAAGCTTGAATGAACTTTCTGGCAAGCAGATTCACAGAACTAAGATTCAGTCTAAAAGAGCTAAAATTCTAAGTAAAATTCCTTCTGAGAGACATTCTATTAGTTCCTAGTCTAACTTCACTGGAAATAGTATCTGAAAAAAAGAAATCAATAACAGAGAAGGCTCATCCATTATTTGGAATTTTCTGGAATAAAAAATCAGTGCATGTTATGTCACCTGTGTTAATCAGTCAACTGAATGGCTCTGAATGGTAAAGTGTCTATTTTAAACAATAATGCTTTTGTTATTTCCTGCAGAGTGTCATTCAACATAACCTTTACTTCAAAGCAGTTCCATCGGCATTTCTCCTTCTCTCCCTAGACGTTATCTCTACAAACTATTTTCAAGAAAACATTTATCTTTAAAAAAAATCCATTTGTAAAACTATAATCTGTGACATCCTATGTCCACAAACCACCATTTTAAATCTAGTCTTTTAGTTTTGTCCTTGCTACTTACCTGGAATTTTATTTCCCCATTTCTCTGAAGGACTTAAACTGTTGTGGACTGGTAGTTGATTCTTCTATCATTAAGTATTACAAAAGGAAAACTGATGTTGGCACACATATTCCAAATACAGCTTTTAATGGCACCTGAGCAAAATCTCCCTCTATTTTTAGTCTTTCATAGTCTGGAAATTTAAAAGCAATCCTTAAATAATAAGAAAGCTAGAACAACACAATCTAATAACAAAAAATGTCACATTCAGGACACTGAATGCTGACACTCATAATCCAGTTTTACAGCTTACCAGACATTGTTTAATGATCATCTCTCAGATCTGACATGATCTTGCCTTATTTAAGTATTTGCCTCATGTTTCTACTTTATTCAAAGTTACCCTGTTGCCCCTCACCCAAACACATATAAAATATTCTTTTCTTTTTAATACTTTACAAGCTGATAATTTTCATCACCAGTAGTGGACCTTTTTATTACTCACCTCCCGCTCCCAAAGTATACCAATAACATAAGGATCAGATTAGAAAATTTAGCATCTTTTTAAAAAATGTGCTTTCTTTTCCCTATATAAGTGCCCACTATACAATTTGTGAATGATATCTGTTACATATTATAGCACCTACGTACCTGCCCCTGCAAGAATTCACCTTAGTCTTCCACGACCCTGCCTTGAACAGTCAGAAAAAGCCAATAGCCAGAGTTTAAAGAAAAGCAGTTACCTTCCTCAGACCAAATTATTGGATAAATGGCCTTGTCGTTATGGCTTAACACTGATATGGCTATAACATGGGGACCCATTCCTGTTTTCCTTTATTAATAGTGTGACCTGACCACAACTTTTTAAAGTCTAGACTAGTTTTCCATATGTTTTACATATTTTATTCTGACATATCTTTTAAAAACAGAAGGACGCAAACATTTGCATTTATCAATCCCTTTTTCTTTAGATGTGGTTTGACTTCTTTCCTTCAGGCTCTTTTGTCACCAAGAAGCAAGCTCTGATTTCGATACTGCCCGTTTGCTATGAAAATATCAGAAGGGGTCATCTTCAAAGCAATACTCCAGTTGGGCTTATTCACTGGTTAGCTGCATAACTTCTTCTAGGACATGTGTAACAGACACAACATATATAGGATTTCGGTTTGGGTTTTCTTTTTTTTTTTTTCCCTAGGTATGATTCCGACTTCTCATTCCTATTTTCTTTTCTTTGAATATATTGCACAATATTTTATTATTAAAAAAGATTTTATGTCTCAGGCAAAAAGTTTTTCTCCTTCACTCAGGAGGTGCTAATGTGTATTATTCTCTAAAAGAGGTAAGTGGTTGTCTGTGTGGCCATCCTCAAAGGAGACCTAGGGAGAAGAGAAGACCAAAGCATTAGTTAGTAAGGAAAACATTCCTTACATATTCCCTCTAAACACAACGCTTTATTTTGGGCAATTTCTTTCTGAGCACCAAAAGCTACTGTTTAGATTTAACAATGGTACTATGAGTTAGAGGTCAACATCATTTATACTGTAGCACTTACAGAACTGACAGGTTTGTAGGATCCAAGTCTGAAACGACAGTAAATTATTTCAACTATAAATTTCCCAATTCCATGTAACATGCCTGCAATAAAAAATAAGTTGTTTTTAATTAAATGATGCTTTTAGTGAAATTATTTCCTAAATTGTTACATAAGAATAAAAAACTCCACTAATTATAATGGAATAGATCAAGAAAGGAAACAAAAAAGTTTGCTTGATTCATTTCCATGGTTAAAAATAACCAGACAGTTGAATTTTATTTATTTATTTTTTAAAGATTTTATTTATTATTTGAGAGAGAGAGAGAATGAGAGATAGAGAGCACGAGAGGGAAGAGGGTCAGAAGGAGAAGCAGACTCCCCGCTGAGCAGGGAGCCCGATGTGGGACTCGATCCCTGGACTCCAGGATCATGACCTGAGCCGAAGGCAGTCGCTTAACCGACTGAGCCACCCAGGTGCCCCAGACAGTTGAATTTTAAAACAAATGGATTTCTTTTCAAAATCACAAGGCCACATAATACATGACCTTGACAAAGCAATCTTTTCAAGGGTACTTTATACATCTCACACTCATACCATTTTGAAAAATAAATAATATTAGCACCCCAAATTTAAATAGTGACAAGGTCTTTCATAGGAAAACCTATTCATTCATTTAAAATATATAATTCAAAACATACAAACTATACAGCTCCATGTAATATTGAATAGGGGTTGGGGATAAAGAAGGAACAGTTTCCTTTCTTTATCTATTGTACTTAATGCTCAGATTTTCATGATTATGATTCCGTACATTATCTTTGAGATAATCTCATAAGCTCAGGACAAAAAAAGCCCCAAATCATAAAAACAGCATTGACTGAAAATTCTGGTTGCACATATTACATGGTTCAAAGTACCCAAGACGTGATTTTACATACTGTACCGTTAAAAATACCTTAAATGAAAAAGAAAATTTACATTCAAGTGTCTACTATTTCTAGGCATTTTCTCATCTAATCCTACAACACACTTGTAAGTTAGATATTATTATTCCCATTTTTATAGATGAGAAAACAATTTCAGAAAAGGTACATGTCCTATATTACAAGGCTACCACCATGTAAATGGCAGAACTTGGATTCATTCAAGGATCTTTCTAGCTCACTAAGTAATCCCCCTGAAATCACTGAATGCAGTAAACTTAACTATGTTTAATGCTTAATCAATATAATTTTGGAGGTTTGGAATTAAATCTTGCAGAAAAAAAAAATTTTTTAAATATCAAAACATGGGAATGTATATATTTCTTGCTTCTTCTAAGTAAAAGCACCTTAATTTCAGTATAACACTTCTAGAAATTAGACGAAAAAGGAATGAATCTTAACCTGTTGTTGAAAAGATTCCTCCAACAATACCACAGAGTCTTACAAAAAACTGCCAGAAAGGCATATGCTCCTCAGTAACTGTTACCATAAGAGAACTGAGATCATATTTCATAAATATCCCAGAGACTCCATGGCTGCCTGCAGCATGGTTAATGACACGTTCCTAAAAGAAAGGGGAGAGACAGAAGGAGAAAAATGGGATTCACATCATCTGGTTACTTGCACAGTCCATATGAAGCCCTACAGCCCAACTGTACAAGAAGGATATCCAAATCTCTTTATGAATTGTCCTACTAGACTAAGCTCTTCAGAGACCATCAAGTTATTCTGTATTCTTTGTGTGATTAGATTCTAAGGAAATCAAGAGCAGAGTCATTCTTTCCTATTTTCTCAAAAAGGTCACTTTACATACAAGTGTTCTACTGAGTTCAAGAGCTTAACAACCATATGGCATCTTCACTGACCAAATCCATAAAAGCCAGGTTCATATTTTGACATACTTTTTGTAACAATTCTTTACTAAGAATTTACAAAATAATTATATTTCTTGTCATTTAAATTATCAGATTTAGAAACAATTTCACTTTCTGTTGTTCATTTTATTTAAACTGTATGAAATACAAGAAAAGAGAATGCCCTCAATTGAAAGATATCAAAATTTAAGCTACTGGTTTAGTTTTTAAAAGAAGTTTTCTCTTGAAAGGAATGCAACTAAAATCATAAACCTACCATAGTGTGTTCACTGAGCAAGAAAATGCTCTATTTCATTCCATCCTGTTTACACTTCAAAAATCAAGTCTGCAAACCTTGGAACTCTTCTGGATATTAATATTTGAATATTCACCATTCTTAAACAATAATAAGAAAACATGACCCCAGAATATATAAGTCTGTTAAACTGTCCAATTCCAAAACTCTGCTCCTCATAATATTTACTTATAAGATCCCTCCACCCTGAGACTGCAAAACGTTTGTCCTCTTAGATGAATAAAAAGCACCAACTTAGTAGGAAGGCACGCCCTCTAAGTCTGCTATCTGAGCCACAAGAACCATGCATGCCCCAGGGTAGGTACACTAATTAAAAAATAACACAGAAATCAGAGAGTCCACTGGCAGATAAGAACTAATTATACAAGAGAAAACATTGCAAAATTATTAAGAATAAAGTCTTTAATACTATCGTAGTTTAATATTTTGTTTAAACTGCATAGAAGGCATTCTAGATTTTTAAAATCTTTTCTTGCTCTAAAGCATACTAACATCCATTTTTATTCGCTTAAAATATTAATGCATTTCAAAACTTCCACCCATTTTAAATGGGGTAGGGTACCAACTCTAACCTTGTTCTGTAGCAGGACTATAAAATGCTAAAAATATATATATATATACAATTTTATCAGTTGGATTCAACTTACCCTTTCTGTCACAGAAAACTGATGGGTGTCTGCTGAAATTTTATATGTATGTAGTTTTGTTGGCACAACTGTAATAAAATATTGGAACATCTGGTTGTCTAGAAAATAAAATGTTTTTTTTCATCAATCCAATAGCAACAATACTACTGCCAAATACACCTTCCTTCTATTAAATACACAACCTGAAATTTAATGCTACTTACGACTTAGTGTTTAACAACAACAACAACAAATTTAAAAGAATCAATGAAAGCAATATACTCATACTTGGTAAACAAGCTCTCAATAAGCATAAAATGTCACATATACACATCTATTAGAAGATGTTAAAAAAAATGAACTAGTCATTAGATGTCGTTTATAACATTATTATCCTTTTATCAAATGTGAAAAATAAAAGTAGCATTTCTTTAGAGTACAGAAATTAGTAAGAATAAAGTTATAATAGTATAATCACCACAGGACATTTTCATTTTCTACTAATATCTTAAGATATACAAATAAACCAAAATTGAATTAGCCAGACTTCGGATATATACAAAGAATTGATATGACAGGAGGAAGATAACAAACCTACTCACTGATGGTCTGAGGTTACTACATAATCCAAAGGATCCTATTTATAGTCTTCAGGCATTTTTAGGTTTAATACAAGTCATAAATATCAGTATATTACCAATTATTAATTAACCTTAAACGGGTAACAGTTCACATAATACAAAACATGTTAATTTTCTAGGTCTATATTCTAGAAAATTTAGAATTAGATATATCTATCTGTAGTTAGAATTAGGTAAGTAATAGGGGCTCATTACATTTGACATGAAAACAGATGTACCTCACACCACATAACTATCTATGGAAACTGTACAGGAATAAAATACACCAACCTTAAATATATGGTCTGATAAATTTTGACAATTGTATTCGCCCACATGATCACCACCACAATCAAAATATAAAACATTTTCACCACCTCAAAAAGGTCCTCCATACCCCTTTGCAGTCAATCCCCTCTATCTCCAACCCTAGGCTAACCACTAATCTACCTTCTATCATCACAGATTAGTTTTGCCTATTCTAGAATTTTATATAAATGGAAGTACATAGAATGTACTTTTGTATGTCTATCTTCTTTTGCTCAACCTTAGTGAATTTTTATTTCCATCAATCCAGTTTCGCTCTCTTATCTTAGTATAATTCAGAATAGGGGAGGGAAGGGTAAACAAGATAGGAGGGAGAGGTTAAGTGTAATGGTGTCTTCAAACACTAACAAGTTTCTAACAAAATAAAACAAAACCTGTTTCAACTTTACCACTTATTTCACCTACCACTGTACCAATATAACTTTCAAAAACATGAACAGTATTTGACTAGTTCTTCTATTATTAGTTTCAACTGAATAGCCTAAATATTACCACAGATAATATTAGGGCAGAAAAGTGTCAACTTTGTCCACCACCAATAGATGGCTTTTAATTGTAGATGGTCTTCAGTTTCATCCTTTTGAGTCATTCTTTGATGTAAGGTGAATTGTTCTATCTATGCTTAGTTTTGAGGTATTTTACAAATTAACTATTGTGTCATAAACAGAGGGAGTGAGCTGGAAGGTGCTAGGAGAAAAAGGTGTTTAAGTCTTAAATATTAATGAACAACAGATGAAAGTGAGAGTGGCAAGGCAATAACCTATGCTGTACACACGGGTGAGATAATCACTCGGGGGGAATCATGATGGACAAAGGGAATCTCACCACATGTGAGGAGTGAAGTGCAATGAGTAATAGCCAAAAGGGTCAAAGACACATGTAAGGAAAAACTGGAAAACATTTAAGCTGTGGCCAGAGAACTACTGAAGCCCTTTTGGTCAATGTTAATTCAAGGAAAGGCCATAAATTTGTGAGATAATTTAATGGCCAGGTTGGGGAAAGCTGGGGGGGTGGGGTAGGGAGGGGAAGCAGACACTGTTGAATGGAATTTTGTTGCAAGCCACAAATTGTTCCAAAGGTGTGGGTCTGTCCAAATTGGTACAGCATTCAAGATCTAAGTACTAAGTAAACCCCTGAAAACTTCTGGAGAGCATCAAGAAGGGAGTGGTTACCTGACACAACAGACTTGTAATGCGGATTTTCTTTTTTCTTTTTGGAAAAAGAAGCCCAATAAAACATATAGTAGTAAGGAGAAGAGTACACCTGCTTTAAAGCTTTGAATAACCTACTGACACAGGTGGCATTTTATAACGTAACTTAGTCTTTGTGAATTTAGGAACAAGTAAACAAAAACAGCCTTTTGAAAATTAATCTGTTTATATTTAGAACTGTTTCTGTACAAAAATTTAAAATCATTTTAGCATCTTGAAAAAAAGTATTAACCAACATGTTTTCAAATGATCATCTCCTAAGTAACATCTACTGTATATCTGTATACAATGAACTACACATAAAGATGAGATTATATACTGAATAAAGCCTATGATTCTCAGAATTTCCAAATTTAGTACACTCAAGTTTCCTTAAGTGACCCATACAAACATAAAATACTTAGGAATGTAACTCAGTATTCCAAGTAAAACATCTTTGATGTATCTGATTACAACACTATGATAAAAGAGTAAAATACTGAAAAGAATATTAATCAATCTATTTTAGTTAATAAAAAATGAAATCCTTAATTACAGTTTTGCAAAGACTAGAATTCCTAGTAGCCAGGAAGCTTTATATGTCCTTAAAAGGTCATATAGGTGGGGCATGTCACACAGTAGGACTATTTCAGTAGAGGAAAGGCAACCAAAAACCTTCAAGAAACACAAGATAGAGTCCTTGTTATAAAATTAAGAAAATAATCCATCCATATTTGGATAAACTTAAATTTTAAATGGAATGGAAGGTTAAAAAGTAATAGAAGGTATCTATGCTATAATGTACTACTTCTGACTGTGTTAATAACTAAGCTATTCTAGAATAACTCTAGGTTTCTGATGTTTGTAAAATTCCCCAAAGAGGTTTCTAAAATGGTACATATGCATTTTATTTATTTTTTTCTGTTTTTTTTTAATAATTTTTTTATTGTTATGTTAACCACCATACATTACATCATTAGTTTTTGATGCAGTGTTCCATGATTCATTGTTTGTGCATAACACCCAGTGCTCCACGCAGAATGTGCCCTCTTTAATACCCATCACCAGGCTAACCCATCCCCCCACCCCCCGGTACATATGCATTTTAGAACTTTAAACCTATACAAACAATTCTTCTTATAATGTTGAAACTTTCTTTAGTTCTTATTCTTTCTTTAGTGCATATGGAAAAGCAGGTAAGCCCCATTAACATATTTACTTTTCATTTATTTAGAGAGCTTTTAAATTCTACTGTTTTCAGCTTACTTATTTTTTTTATGTCTTTTTTTTTTTCCTGCTTACTTCTTACTCTAATTTCTTTTGTTCTTATGGCTCATTTTTTAACATATAAATTTCATCCACAAGCAGGAAATTCTCTCTACATACATCTCCACATAAAATTATCAACCAGTTAATCTACTTAAAGATTTACCTATTTGTCATAAGAGGATTATTAAAAATGTGTTAGTATTAAAGTTATAAAGGTAATTGTCTGCATGCAAATTCCCACGGTAATTATTAAATACTTACGATCTACAGCAATTTTTTCAGTTCCATCCAAAGGATTAATAAGTCCTGGAACAAGCTCTCCAAAAGACAAATGATCTATTCTGTGAGAAAAGTTGTAAGCTAAGAGGAATAAAATAAACCAAATTAAGTAGAGTAATTAAATTATTCAAAACTACATGTTACTTATTGGTTCACATTCTTATCTAATCATAAATGAAAATATCTCAAATCTGTAAGTGTACTATAGTATTTAAAATTACATTATTTTGAGAAAAATGCATATAATATGTGGAATTAAATGTATAACAGTAAGTACATTCTAACAAAATGCTCTATCTCAAATTGTATAATTACATACAAATTAACTTCTACAAAATAGTACATCTAATCCTGATAACCAAAAATATAATAATAAGTCTTTCCTTGTCCGTATCATTTTATAAAGTAACAGGACTGTTAGAACTGGAATGATGTCGGGGCACCTGGGTGGTTCAGTCGTTAAGCGTCTGCCTTTGGCTCAGATCATGATCCCAGGGTCCTGGGATGGAGCCCCGCATCGGGCTCCCTACTTGGCGGGGAGTCTGCTTCTCCCTCTCCCACTCCCCCTGCTTGTGTTCCCTCTCTCGCTATGTCTCTATCAAATAAAAAAAAAAAAATCTTTAAAAAAAAAATCAGGAACTGGAATGATATCCATGTAGCCAAATAATGAAACTGATCAGATATATTTTTAATCCAAACCACTGCTAAACGTGACAAACTGATTTTTTTACGGAATTTACTACTTGTTTTTGTTCTCTAAAGAAGACTTTATATATATTTTTTTTAAGATTTTACTTATTTGAGAAAGAGAGCAAGAGAGTACAAGCAGGCAGAGCGGGAGAGGGAGAAGCAGACTCCCCGCTGAGGCTGAGCAGAGCGCCCAATATGGGGCTCAATCCCAGGACCCCAGGATCATGACCTGAGCCGAAGGCAGACGCTTAACCGACTGAGCCACCCAGGCGCCCTCTAAAGGAGACTTTAAAAACTAAGTTTTATGACAATGATTACACAAAACAGGTATATTTTATATGCATGCATGTGTCCCGATGTACACTTACATATTGAAATAAACTTCAAATATATGCTCTTCATCATCCATAAAAATTAGCATAAATGTGTACAAAATGATATAAAGCACACCAAGGCTCTGTTCCCTAACCCTACCAACTTCTGAGCTATGAATAGAAACACAGGTAGTTTAAAGATAAGAGAAAATGGACTAGAGTCAATATATTTATTCATTTATTTTCTCCTTTGGATATCCGTTTTGACAACAGCCCACTTTGAAAACCCTACCTTACATCTGCACTCAAAACAAAACAAAAAAACCCACATACAACACATTTTTCAGTGACATCTTCATGGAAAAAATTTCCTAAACTGCTTACAGTCATGGTTGACAAGTGCTGCCAAATGTGCATGACCTCGGGGATGTGGAATGGCCCTGAAAAGAGGAAAAAAAGATTAAAGTACTAATACTTAAACATATAACTAATTAAAACCAGAAAGAGGATCTTTCCTAAGTTATATAACTGTCTTAATATAAAATAAAAACATACTTGTCCTATGATTTAAGTAGGTAAATCTACTCATCTCAGCCATGCAATAAACTGGGGGCTGCCAAACGGTTTCTGTGAAGTTATCTTAGGCTTTGGGGGTCAAGATGCAAAACTGAAGATATTATGCAGTTAGTTATGTAAGAAGAGAGAAACATTTTCACAAACTTAATGACATTCAAAATATAAGAGTAATAAAAGTGAGTGCTTTTTTTGTAGTTCAGGTATTTTTGCTGGGAGATAACATTTTCCTTAACTAGGGTTTAGAGTCAGTGTTCTCTATTTTCAAAATTGATCGCAAAGATTTATCCGTTATGAAGATCTAGAATGAAATTTTACATATTTTATCTTTGAAAATATTAATCCAGGGGCATATCTTTTAACTGAGTATATTCGTTACTTGGATAGAACTCTATGAGGTTCTTCCCTTGGTATTTCCTTTTGGTGTGTCATTATATAACACAGATTGATCACTTGCGATTTAAGGCAGAATTTCCTCAAGCGCACAGTTAAATACATTTTGAAAAGTGGAAATTTCCTTTGCACCTGCATTAAGGTCATAAAACACTTCAGGAACTATAGTCTGAGGTTGGAAAATACATACAAGTATAAGAATGGAGATCTTGCTTCTTGTTTTAACTTTTGACAGTCAGGCTGTCCCAGCATGGAAAGCAAGAAAAACCACTTAAAATCATTTGACATTACTTATCACTGAAATAGCCTTACCACAATTTAAGTTTCATATTAACGCTGTTCTTCTTATAATTTTAGGCTAAATTCATTAAGAAACATGATCCAGTCTGCACAAAACTTAAACTTCCAAAACTATTCAGTGTTCAATAAAAACAGATGAAAGTAGTTTTCCTATTCAGAAAAATTTCAATCTCAGCCCTTAGCTCAAAAAAAAGTCACAAAAATAAACTAGACCACTGCTAAGCTGTCAAGCTGTCGTGCAGTAGGGCAAGTTGGAATATTTAGCTTTTCTTTCTGACAAAAGTTCATGGAAATGACAATGCTTAAGTCCCTGAGAGCAAATGAACTTCACTATCAACATTATCGGCTCAATAATACATGACAGATTCAAATATTTTCTGTGAAGTACTGCCGATGATACTAATGGATAACCACAGGCTTCAAACACCTTACATTTTCACAAGCCTTGAAAATTTATCCACATAAGCCTTTTTATGCTTCATACCTATTTACCACCAGCAACACACTGATGTTCTCTCAATTTCTTTAAAAATATTTTTGTCTGTAGTTGTTCCACGCAGGCTATCTGATCACTTCAAACTCACCAGTGACTCCTCAAAAAAAAAAACAAAACAAAACAAAACAATAAGCAGTATTGGTAACGTCTGCTCACTCAGCAAGAGCTAAGGGAACCCACTATCACCTGCCAGGCTTTTAACTGACTACTGGACGCTGCTTTCACTGTCCTCAGCTGCCAGAGCACTTTTCTCACCAAAAAGCTAATTCTCCAAAGCAAATTTATTTTCCCTGGATGCATTTCTTTGGTTGGTGCAAACACACACAATCTCATCAAGCTGCCTCTAAGTGGCTTTCCTTCCTCAGCTAACCAGTGAGTCACGTATCAACCTACTTTGGCTACAGTCTCAGTTTCATTTTTTATTTTTATGAAGAAATTCTGCCTGTGCTTAGATATTCCCTTTTAAATTTTTTAATTTTCCTGAGAGCTAGTAATGTTGTGATGAGTGCTTAGTCTGGTGATATTTACATCTCCTATATCCTTTCAGCACAGCTATAGTGTCCCTGCATAATAAACATGACGTTCTGAAGTCAAATTTGATAAAATAATCCACACTCCACTGTGCCTTAAGAGTACGTTGGAAACCTGTATTTCTTTCTCTTTTCTGACAGAGTAATACAAGAAATCAAATGTTGTGGTACAGCAATACACAAGGCATTTGTAATGCTGTCCAGCTGTAACTGTTATAACTTATTCTAATTTGTAGTGCCCCAAGTAGCAGCACAAAGTGATGAGTCATACACAGTCACTGTCACAATTGCTCAAATCCTGGTATCGTAGTGCACAAGGAGCCACACGTAAACAAATACACATGACTGTGTTTCAGTAAAACTTTATTTTTGGACACTGAAATCAATTTCATATATTTTTCATGTGTTATGATACACTGTCCCATGTGATTTCCAGTAAAGATTGTTTTGAAAACTGTAGGGCTGGGAGGAGGCATTTTGGGTTGTCACAATCACCGAGAAGGAGTCACAATCAGCATTTAGCAGACAGCAGCTAGGGAAGCAAGGCAACCCGCAACACAGTGACGCTCTCACACACAAAAATATTGTCCAACATCTTGCATGACTTCCACTCTAAGTGGCATTCATGTAGGTGAAAAACCTATGAATAATGATCTGAGTCTGGAACTTAACTCCATTCAGCTACACAAAGTACTCTGTTGTAGTTTCAATATATACTAAATTTCCTAGGAAATGGGGGGAATATTATACTTTTTTTGGTTTGCAGTATCACAAAGAGTTTTTCCCTATTTCAGAATCAACAGATATACCATTCATGATATTTGAACAGCCAATACATCTGTTTCATTCTGCATATGCAGTTGATGTATACCTACTGATTCTACATGTATATGGCAAGTGTCTGCCTACTCCATTACCTTACTTAAGGTACTCCCGTTCAAACATTTGATTATTGAAATACATATTATTGTTACAAATCTTGTTTTTATTTCTTCTTTATATTACAGTTGAGGGTGATATTGTATCTTAGAGGTAACATGAGATCTTCAAAATGATCAATACTGAACATGGTAAACATAATACCAAAAATTAGGAGTGGGTTTACAAGATATCCCAGAGATGAATAAGGATAAGATACAAACCAAATATTTTTCCATCTGGCCTCTCTCATTCATAGCATGAGTTATCACATGGAGAGAGAAGTGAAATTGGGAATAAAGGCCATAATATAGAGGCTCATGAAGTATTAGTCGAAGTTTCCCTCTTTTAGTTTGGAGTGGGATATTGTTTGTATTCACAAGTGCAATAAAATCTTCTAAATTTCTTTGAGCCAACTATTATCTATAGTTGCATGATACCAAGAAATTCCAAGCTATAGAATTGATCCTGGCAATAGCAAGAAAACAAAACATGAATGTTAAGAAGAATGGGACAACAAAAACAAATGTTTGACCTGATCACTGTAAACACTGAAATAATTTTGCATAAAAGATTTAAGCTATTTATTTCTATATATAACAAAAAAAACCTCCAGCAATGCTTTTTCCTGCTTTATGGCCTTTCCCTCAGCCTGGATGCCCTTTCTCCTCTCTATATAAAATTCCTAATCATTCACTAGTGTTCAAAGGTTTTCCTCAATAAAGCCTCTGCTGATGTGCAGGGTAAGTCAGGTACCCTATTATATAGTTTCTTATTGGCCATACTTCTCCTATACAACTATAATTAAATAATTAGTGTAATTCACTGTTCAAAGTTTGGATTCTCTCACAATGTCAGCACCATAAAGGCAAAAACCCTTTTTCTTTCTTTCACCGTTTCATCTTTAGTATCTGGCATGGTACATACGCCACAGCCAAGTTCTCAAAAAATGTCTTTTACAATGAAGAATTGTTTAGCTCTACAACTCTAGATGGATGGAAGAAAGGAAGGGAATAAGGGAAGTAGAGAGAAAGGGAGAGGTCAGAGAATCTATTTATTTATTCAGAAATTTACCAAGTGTTTATATCCTATGACAGTTTCTCTGCTGGGTGCTGCTCAAGAAGGTAGGTGTTCTGGTATTTTTCCGTATCTTTTACGTACTTTATCTCAGGCACTACTAATTTCTTCTTTTTTTTTTTAAATTTATTTGAGAGAGAGAATGAGAGAGAGACCACAAGAGGGGGGAGGGAGGGAGGGAGAAGCAGGCTTCCTGCCAAGCAGGGAGCCTGATGCGGGACCCTGATCGCAGGACTCCAGGACCATGACCTGAGCCGAAGGCAGATGCCCAACCAACTGAGCCACCCAGGCACCCTGGCACTACTAATTTCTAACTACATCAAAATACTTGTCTCAAATTAGCCAGGGTTTACATTTTGGTGATGATTATCAAAAGGAAAAACAGAACAAAAACCTAATACCATCCACAACATGAACAAATTAATGAAATGTCTAGGTAAGAGCTTCCTGGCTATTAAAACTTGGCAAGTAGGTTTTCATTCATATCTACCTACAGCTCATTTACTTTATTTATAAACTATAACATAACTGTTTTCCTTTTGTTTTGAAGCAGTTTTTAACAGTCTTCTCCATCCTGAGATCAAAGCCCTGAACACAAATCTCAAACCATCAAAAATATAGACACACAACACTTAGAGCAGCCCTTTAGCAATTACATATTATTTGATTAGCAAAGAATTTACTTTTAAACCAAGCTGCCAACTTGTCTAAAGTATTTTCAGTAAGGGAAAAGAACATACTTGCCCACAGTTATGTGAAAATTCCCTGCTACTTTATTGACATAGAGATGACCATGAATCCTGCAAGCATCTGGAGGCTGTGAGGAATCATCTTCCCTGTTACAACATGAGAGGAAGGATTACTGACAGCACACTCGACAGCACCATTCTGTGGTGGGAAAATTTTGTAGAGAGGAAAAAAAAATCGCTAGAAATATATTTACGCCAGTCTAAAATTCCATGGTTCTTCATATCTAACCACAGGATTAAGGCCAATAAGAGTGGAAAGTTTAAAGGAATTCGTCCAATAAAAACATATTTTGTCATCTCTTTCTGGCACCTTAGGGGTCAGGGGAAGATGGAAGTAAGAATGAGGGAAGGACAATGACAGTTTCTTCTTAAGCAAATGTAAAACCTCTGTATAGTTTTAAATTTAAATGATCATTTTTGTGATTATAGGATTTCTAAATATATCTACTCTAACCTATAAAAAGAGAAAAAAAGTGAAATAAAAACACAAAATTCCTAACTAAAATTTATACATCCTTATACAATAATGACAAATGTAATTAATTTGTTCTTAAAACCTAACATAATTTTATATGGAATTTCCCATATACACATAAGAGGAAATTAAATGAAAATAATATTATTTGTGATAATCCTGATCAATATCACAGGCTATAAATTTAAGAGTAAAAAGAAATCTTCATCATACAGAGTGATTACATTTTCTCTAAGAAATATGAGATTAGAGAATAAACCAATACTAAAACTATGTCATAGTAAATTCATAATAAATAGATGTACATTTAAAAATTATATCTCACCTTGGTGGAAGTGCTGTTGATGCACTCTTAAAAGCACTTTTAAATATCACGTCTTGAAGTGAATGTTCTTCTTGCAGTCTACTCTGAATCAGCTGCAGCATTCTAAATACAACATAAATAAGCAATAGTTAGAAACACAGTAAGGTACACAAGAAAGCCAACACTTTTTTTTTTTTTTTAAGATTTTATTTATTTATTTGACAGAGAGAGACACAGCGAGAGAGGGAACACAAGCAGTGGGAGTGGAAGAGGGAGAAGCAGGCTTCCCTCAGAGCAGGGAGCCCCATGCGGGGCTCGATCCCAGGACCCTGGGATCATGACCTGAGCCGAAGACAGACACTTAATGACTGAGCCACCCAGGCGCCCCGAAAGCCAACACTTTTTTAAAACTAACAATGGTTAGCTGACTTAGTTAACCCATACATTTATTATTACAGGTCTTGATTCTAAAATAAAGTACCAAGTTTTCTTTGGTCATTTCCTTAAAAGAAAAAGTGAGGTAGGGTGGCTAAAGGTTTAACAGGTGAGGTCCATAAGCATGTCTGATTGCACTGATAATGGATGTGCAGTCAGAGTCACTAAGAAGGAGCTTCTGCTCACCTGGGTATCTAAATTCATCTTTCATGCATGCATGCAGCTATGACAAAATTCTTACTTTTTATCAGGTATTGAATAAAGTGTTATAGATACAAAGAATAAGACAAGTACAATTTGGTGGACTTAAGTGGGAGGTTACTGGGGTATAAACCCATACCAAAAGCATTTAATCCTCATTACAAAATAGGCCATAGTGCCATTTAATATCACCTGGTGTCTCCTTTTCCAAGAAATCTAAACATTATTCTATGACACGACCATTCTAAACAAAATATTATACTCTACCTATACTTTTTAAAAAGAATATCAGCATCTTCAGATTTACACATCTAAAGACTTAAAATCTTTGGATCTAATGCTAGCAGAAATTATACGTTTCTATTTGTTGTGTGTCTTGTATTTCCAGAGTCCAGTTTTAGTGCTGGGTAGTGGAAAAAGAGGTTGATGACAGCAAACTGTGTGTGTGTGTGTGTGTGTGTGTATAACTTCTGCCTCAAATATACCAATATCCAAGCTTATATTCCGTATATGAAGATATATATAAAAAAAAAAAAACTCTATGATGGAAAACAGCCATTATTTTAATAGTAAAAACATAATCTCTGCTCCCACTTATTACTAGTCTTGGACACTGAATAAAATTCTAGATGAAAGGAGGCTTCTCACTTTAATATTTCTGGATTAAAGTAATGTATTTCATCTCTGGATGGCTTTCTACTCTAAGCTCTAGAAGCTCAGAGACACCTAATATTCAGTTCTTTTGTTTAACTACATTTGATTTCAACCTTAATTTAAAAATCTCCCCAAATGGTGAAACTGGAAATTAAAAGAGAAAGGCCTTTGAAATGTACTTAGGGACTAGAAAGGGAAAAAAAAATAATGGGTAAAAAATTTTTTTTGCAATAATCTTAAGTAAAGCCTTTGTAAGCACCAAGACATAGCCTGGAAACCGAAAAGAAAAAAAAGCAGTATATGGGAGCAGGGGTGGGGGAACCACTTATAACAAAGGACTACTTTCTTTAATATACAAAGGATTATTTAAAATTATTTTTTAAAAAAACCCAACAACCAAGCAAAATGGGCATATGGCATGAATAAGCAGTTTCAAAAGAAATACAAATGGGGAAAAAAAAATCCACAAAGATATGCAACTGATTCATAAAGAAATGCTAATTAAACAAGTGTAATACCATTTTTCACCCACAGAATTGGCAACAATAAAAAAAGTCTGGTTATACCCACTGTTGGTGAGGTTGTATAGAAACAAGTACTCTCATATAGTTTTGGAGTACAAGTGAAGATATTTTGGCATCATCTTTCAAAACGTCTCTTTTCCCGGTTTTACTGAGATACAACAGACATATACTGTGTAAGTTTAAAGTGTACAACATATGATTTGACATATGCAGAATGATTATCACAATAAGTTAACCATCACCTCACATAGTTACAAATTTTTCTTTGTGATAAGAACTAACCAAAATGTTAATTAAATATCCTCTGAAAGAGAAGTTCCATTTCTAGAAACCATACACACACACACACACACATTCACACCAGTACGTAAGGAATTACATTCAAGAATTTTCATTGAGCATTGTTTTTAATATTAGAATCCTTTTTTTTTTTAATATTAGAATCCTGCCAACAATCTAAATGCCCACTGATAACGATCTAACTTAATCAACCATAGTTTATCCATAAAATGAATAGTCTATGTAGTGACATGGGAAGATATCCAAAATACCAGGCTAAGTGGAAAAAAACAAGTTCTAGAACAAATGTACAGAATGATCCTATTGGCATTAGGAAAAAATAACATAAGCAAATATGCAAATATACAGAAAATTATAAATGAACAGAAAATTTCTAGAAGGTGACACAAGAAATTTAACTCTGGTTATTACTGCTAGTCAGTGGCACTAACAGTAATGATGAAGAGGCTTTAACTTTTAATTTATATCCTTTACTTCATATCCTTTCTATTCAAACTGAACTTTAAATGATCAGATATTGCTTTATAAATTTTTAAATAGTTAATACAATTTTAAATGAAAACTAAGATATATTTATGATTCAAAGTGCATTAGAGAAAAGATTATACATGACTTTAAGATCTGATAAAGTTTTTGAAATTGTAAAGATATTAATTACTATAGTCTGCTAATAATTCATCCCAAAAACTGACCAAAAAAATGTTAATCTATGAATAATTCACAAAAGACAAAATAGAGAAAACATGATCTAGATTTCTATGGACCACAATACTTTGTTAACTTATTACCTCTGCCACTCTTTTTGCTGTGGTGAAAGGTCAAATATTGCCTGAAATAAAGGAAAACATAATCACTAGCACGGCCAATTTCTCTTGGCTTTTATATCATAATTTTAAAATGTTTTCTTTGAGCAAGAAAATTTATAGTGTTTGTAGAAACAAGTATCCATATTTACATTTAACCTTCTGTAAGCTAAAAAATATAATATGTAATATTCTAACTCAAAACCAATATAAAGAAATTTTACTAATCACAAATATTTTCCTGTTACAGTTATCCACATTTATAGAAATGACTGCAAGCTGGTAATCTGTCTATGCACAAAATGGTATTTTAGGACTTGAGATCATTTAAATGATACATGCATGAAAGTTTTTAAAAAAGAAAAAGGAAAACATAAAGCTCAACTATAATATCTAAGCATCCAAAGCCCATATTCTTGCCGGGATAAATACCAGATGAGATCAACATTTTTTTTTAAGCTTTATTTATTTAAGTAATCTCTACACCCCACGTGCGGCTCACACTCATGACCCCAAGATCAAGAGTCGCATGCTCTTCCAACTGAGCCAGCCAGGCGCCCCAAAATCAACAATTTTTGAAACAAGCTAACCAATGACACTGTAATTCCCAAATGTACTAATCAATAAGGAGTAATTCAAGAAATTTAAGCACTATCTTCATCAATTCAGTCAGACGAAATGACTTGTAGAATCAGAGGAAAATATGCAAGCTTTTCATGGTTTGTGGCAATATCCACAATTTAAGTGTGCAATAACAAAGACCACTTTTGATTTTTATAAAGGCAATTCATAACAAAGCGTATCGATTCTACTTTTTAAATTTAGCAACATTAATTATACTTCCATAATCAGGCCCTAACCTACTATTCTCTCTCTACAAAATCCCCAGTTCTTTAATAAAGGTGGAAGAATCCCTCATTTCATCAAACAGTTCTACCTCTCTGCCTTTGGTAATTTAATTATACCAACCTGGAAACTTCCTCTCCTGTAACTGTGACCCTCATGTACATCTAAATCCTATATACCATATCCTCCAGGTTAAATTGCCCCCACCTTTCTGATGACAGTGAAATTGTCTCTGATTACTCCTCCTGCTGATCTTATCTACAGCATGCTTCCCAACCTTTTTTCCACCACAACGCACAAGGAAAATGCTAACATCTATAAAACACACCATGGTGAACAGAGGAGGCTGCATGCAACTGCTTCCCAGTTACCTTATAAATAAAACTTTTGAGAGTGAGGGATAGGATTCTTCCTTTGACTTCCCAAAACTGCATAGTGTAGTACATGGCATGGGGGTAAAGGAACTACTGAGTAGCCGACTTCATGCTAGATACTCTGCGACTTAATTTATCTCACTTAGCCTTCAGAACAACCTGTGAGTTTGTTACCATTCTTGCCTTTTTTATACGAGGAAGAAGCTCAATAGGTTCAAAACTTTTTCCAACATCACAGACCTTAAGAGTCAGTATACAAACCCAGCACTGTCAGATTCCTCACATTTACACAGTTTTTAAATTCTTCTATTTAAGTAAAGAAAGAGGAATGAAATATAATGGTAAACAGCAAAGTAGTAACCCTCCAGCATACTGTATGATCATGATTTGGAAACTAGTAAAGTTATTAGGGCTAAGTTTTTAATACTCAGAGTGCATATTAGGACAGCAAGTTTGAAAACATAAAAAGTAAAAAAATCTCAAATAATTTTACATTAATAACTCTTACTTAATATTTTAATATAAATTAGGACAAAGGAATGGAGACTTACCAGAAATATTGTTGAACATTTTAGAAATTACTAATAAAAAGTATACAATTGAATATTTTTAAATTCCTGTCTGGTCAAGACATAACTTCTAATTATATGACAGTTAAATTTAAATAAAACGTTCCTGTTCCACAAACGACTGGAAGAGATGGCAGAAACTGTTTACAATGGAATAATCAACAATCTTGTTACAATTACATAATTCTAACATATTCCTTAGTGCCTAATAGCTAACAAGGCACTATACTTCACATTTTGTGAAACACAGAAGAATGAATAAAGTTAATGCTTCTCAGGAGCTTAAAATCTAGCTAGAGAGACAAGCTCTCCAGAAAAATAGATATAAACAAAACCAGGGACTTAACAAATGTGAAGAAAAAAAAGAGTAGGAATGGGAGACACTCAGAATACAGAGAGAATGCTAAAGAAAGAGCATAAGTAAATTTTAGAGGCGAAGTTCAAGATGATTAAGTTTCCTCATAACCAAATTTTCACAGTGTTCAAAGAAACAAAATGAAGACACACTATATTATCATTTTATTTTTTTTAAAGATTGTATTTATTTTTTTGACAGAGGGATACACAGCGAGAGAGGGAACACAAGCAGAGGGAGTGGGAGAGGGAAGCTTGATGCGGGGCTCGATCCCAGGATCCTGGGATCATGATCTGAGCCAAAGGCAGATGCCCAATGACTGAGCCACCCAGGTGCCCCTGTATTATCATTTTAAATTAGCATCAACATACTGGAAATTTTCAAGAACTTATGCAAGACTGCATACAAGGGAGACTAAACTGAGAAAAGAACCCAACACATAATTCATTTCATGGCCCAAAGAGGTCTATGTAGGAAACAAGGAAAGTCCGTAACTCAGAGAAAGAGAGGAACTGGTGCTAAGACAAAGAGACACCTGAGAAAGAGGCAGTCCCCACCTTAGGAGCACTTTCAGGAGTTCAATCAAGTGCCAGAGACCACATGTGAGTACATTCCACAGCAGTGTTATTCCTAGCTTACATGTGACCTGGACAGTGTTCTAAATTAAGCAAGACTACTGCCACGGCTGGCTGCTAATGAGGACTCACACTGGCTAAAGAAAGGAGGAGTTAGCCTAGTGAAATGTAGCCTGTCAAAACAAGCACAGAAAAGGAAACTTGGAGTGCCCTGGTGAACTATTCTGCTATCCTGGACCCAATACTGACTTCTCCCTTCCTTTTCAAAAAGCACCTGAAGCTCTAATATTACTTAAAAGAAGCAGAGTATATCTAAACTTAACACCCTTTTCTCCTTTCATCTAGGCCTGAAAGAAAAAAAAGTGTGTGCGTGCTGGAGAAGGGGGGGTCAGATAAAAACTGACATAACTCAACAGTCTATGTCAACTCTGAATCACTTAATAGGCCACTTATATCTCATCCTAAGAATGAACAATAAATAAATGAATATATAAAAAGATTAACTTGAAAAAAGTGATCAATCTCAGATATGAGGGCTAATTTTCCTCTATGATACCATTCCTAGAAATAAGAAGATGTTAAGTTTTTCTAATTGTTTGTCAATAAAATTTACATCATAATGACAAAAAAATGGAATGATCTGTGATATATTAAAGATATAAAATAGAATCATTGAATTTTAAACTGTAATGAAGGCACTGAAAAGAAGATTGGTCCTACTGGATCGAGGTAATCTCTCAGAACTCAGAGGCGAAGTTTGAAATATGCATCTAAAATAAGTATTAATAAGGATACTGAGAACCACTCCATGAAATTCAACATCATGTGGTAAGAACTTTAAAAAGCAGCGGTAAAGGGATGCCATGGTGGCTCAGTTGGTTAAGCATCCAACTCTTGATTTCAGCTCAAGTCATGATCTCAGGGTAGTGAGACTGAACCCTGAGTTGGGGGAGCCTGCTTAAGATTTTTCTCTCTCCCTCTTCCTCTGCCCCCCCCATTTTCTCTCTCTAAAAAATAATAATAATAATAAAAGTAAAAACGTTGCTTTAAACAAATTTAAAGCAAATAAACAAGCCAAAAAAAAAAAAAAAAACAAGCCAAAAAAAAAAAAAACTTCAAAATTCAGATCATTAAGATCAAAACCAAAATACAAAAAAAAAACAAAAACAAAAAAACCCTACACCCCAAGGTGATCCAAACCTGGATATATGGGATAAATATTTGAATTATAAAAGCAAAAGAAAAAAAGCATTCAAGTAGATGAATATGTTACCTATGAAGGAAAAAATAATTGCATCAGAAGACAATGAAGGAATGTCTATAAAGTTTTGAATGCAAAACACCATAAAGCAGAATTATATCCTGAGCCAAACTTACATGTATGAAGAACAGAACAACATAGGCAGTCATGCTAGAGTCTCTAAAACCTAATCCACATATCCACATATTCTTACTGACAAGTCTTAAAAAGTCCTTCCACAAGATGATAAAAAATAAAGAATGGTAGAAAATAAAAGCAATAAAACATAGAATTAAAACTCAATAATTATTCTTAAAATAGTATGAAATGTAATGCAAATGTTAAAATGTCTAAAAATTATCTAGATCTAAATTTCTAGATAATAGTTTAAAATGTGATAACATGGTACCTCAATTTGTAAGGTACCAAACCTCATAAAAAATTACAGGGAAATCAATTTTTTGAGTGGGAATACAGGAGTTAGGGAGCAAAGAGATTCAGAGCAGCAATAACAAAGTTACCTTTTCTTCAGAAATTTCTACTTAAAAAGTATGCATGAAAAGGCTTATATTTTATTGCTATAAGCTAAAAATAATTTGATAATCAAAACTGACCTAAAGGTTTCCTTTTATTTTTTTCCTATGACACATTCAGCTATCTCTAATCCTCCTCCATCACCTTTAGTCTTCACTTTGCAATCTGCTTAAAGAAGGCTTCACAACTGTCAATGATAAAAGAACTCAAGAATGCATGGGTAAACATAAGTACCACAATGCCAACTGAGCAGAGAGCAACTCAAAGTAGCTGGGAGTTCCCTTCCTTATTCTCTAAAGCTTCTTTAGAGCTAGTTATCACGACTTGTTAACACCTACTCCTGTGATGTGATATTTGCCCCTGTAATGTGATGGTGTTTCCTGACAAATTGGTTATATCATACACAACTTGTGCTATGAAAACAATAGGAGAATGTCAGAATTTCACTAGCTTTGGGAAATGGAGGTTTGAAGGAGAGAAAAAAAAAGTAAATGCATAGAAAATGTCTCCTCTTAGATACTGCTTTATTCTTCCTTATGTTAAGAGGAATACAGCTGAAACATTTTTAAAGTCTTAACTTTGCTAAAAGTAGAATACAAATAGGACACAGAATTTCCGAATCATTGGAGGAAAAGAAGAACATTTAATCATTATAGCAACTATAAGAAAAAAGGAAACTATCAGGAAGGATTAACAAAAAATGAATAATAAGGTTATAAAACAGACTTTAGAGGCTTTTTCTAAATGCTAACAATTGTTATTCTCAAGGCTTTGGTATTAGAAATCTTCACAAAGAATATGGGTTACTTTTAAATTAAAAATACACACACACACACACACACATACACACATATTAAAAGCTACAAAACGAAAAGCAAATATCAAAACTGTCTTCAAGAAAACAACATCTCATAGCATATTATTTAAAAGTACATGTCCATTAAACTTACTGGTTCATAAACTAGACCATCTGCAGATGCAACCATTGTTTCTGCTAAATCCAATACATCTGCTCCAACATCTGCATAAAAAAAAAAATAGAAGTTTACATTCTATTTTTGGAGCCAAACTATATATTACATAAACTAACAAACTGAAATGACTAACAGAAAATTCCAATACATAAAATCACTTTCCTATACCAATTATTTGTTCAAAAGTTAAAACAGTCGCATTATACAGTTTTGGTGGAAAGTATTCAAAAAATCAGTAATACTTTTTCTGGTTCTTGTTCAGTAAAAAAGATGACTCAGAATCTCACGGTAAAAAGCATAAACTTCACTCAACTGCAGAGCTTTGCAAAAATTGTCAAGAACCTAATCACAAGTACTAAATTAAATGGCTGCCAAATAAAATATTAAATACAAAAATTATTTTTAGAAATTAAAAGAAATTTTAAGAGAAAGCTACTGATGACTTTTTAAAAAAATCAACAACTAGGAAAAGTTTATTTTGAAAAGGCAAAAGTTTTAATGGTATTCAAACATCTAAAATAAGGCAAAAATATATATTCAGTAGTAACAAACTCATAGTTTAAATATAAAGTGTTTCTTTACTCTTAAAACCACTACCATAAGGAAAAATGAAAAGGGAAAGAGATTTAAAATTTTTCTGAGATGAAATCTCCCAGAAATTATCTGCTTAAACTATTTTATACTTTATAAAATTTTGTCTCCATTTAAAAGATATTTTCAGTAATTTAAAAGATATCTTTCATGCAAAAACATCCTCTTTGAGAGCAATACTGATTCAAACATTATCTACCTAGCACATTAACATTTTCCCACTTCTACCAGTATAATCAAGGGAAGCCAGAGAAGAAAATAAAAAAGGGTAACACATTATTTAGTTAAAAGACTTGGATCCATATTTTAATATGCAAGACTGCAAGTAAAGGGTGACAAACCAAAACAGTGAAACAGGATATGTTGTAGAGCATGGGTAGGTGTAAAACTGGTAACTCCAAACAAGAAAGAAATAAATGATACATCTAAATTAGAACTCTGACTCATGAAAATTTCCTCCAGTTTTCTTTTATTTTAATTGTACTAATGTGAAAGTTAAATCTCTTCTCTTCATGGAAAAGAAATTTAAAGAATATAAGCTGGGGAGCAAAACAACTTGCACTATTAAATAACGTTACCATAGCATTTTAAGATAGCATAAAGGAAAAAATAAAGTTAAAACACCACCAGTGGTCTTACTTTCTACTAACAATTATTTAAATCATAAACAATACATGGACTCAACAAGTTAAAGGTGTACTTACACTGACACTTCATAGCAACAGTAATATCTATATTGATTCTCAATTTGCTAGAAGACAAAAAGGAAATGTTAGTACCTACCAAGTAATCAAGAAAACATGAGAAATATAAATCAACTGATCTATGAAAACTTGGATTTCAAACATAATAAAATTTGTTGATAAGAACTTGGATAGCATTTCTTATGGCCAAAACAAAGGCACTTTAAAAGTAAAAACTCTGTATTTTGCAACTATTCTAAAAGCCTTTCTGATTTCACAAGTTTTCAACACAGTACCCTTTAATTTAATCATGGTAACTCAACAATAACTCCAAGCAACTCAGAAAAGTCTACCTCTGTTTACATAAACCCTATACAGAATATTCTTTGAAGAACATAAAATTTTCAAAACCAAGGGTTAGGAATTACAAGTATTTCTCTTCTATTTATCAGATAAATATCGTATCAGGCATTTATGCCTAATGCCCTACAATTATTACCTTTTTTATTCCTTTTTTTTTTTTAAAGATTTTATTCATTTGAGACCCAGAGAGAGAGAGAAAGCCACAAGCAGGGGGGAGGGGCGGGGGAAGAAGCAGACTCCCCATTGAGCAGGGAGCCCAGATGAGGGGCTCTATCTCAGGACCCTGAGATCATGACCCAAGCCAAAGGCAGACGCTTACTGACTGACTGAGCCACCTAGGCGCCCTATCTTTTTTATTCTTTATCATGGACCTATTTAAAGTAGATAGCTTTCCAGATTTACAGATAAGCCAGTATTGTTCAGAGCAGAGTAAATGCCTGGTTGAAGATCCCATAACCACTGAAGTGGCATATTGGAAACTAAGTCTGAGTGGCTCAGGGTAAATGCACCAAACTGCCAGGAAAAAAAAACCCTATGATGCTTAAAGTTTTGCATATCCTTTTAAAAAGGATCCTTTATTTTCAAAGGATCAGTTCAAATCAAATTAATTTTCAAATACCAGAATTAAGCACCATGAATAACAGAATGAGTACAACAAATATCAGTCCCATCCTGTGCTTCCAATCAAAACTTTTTCCCTCTAATAATTTTTCTGTGGTTTCAATAGGAACTACAGATTTTTGGAGCTTCATATCATCTTAAATTGTCTAGAGTTCAAACTGTACTCCAAATAACTGTGGGGTTTAGGCTTAGGAGATGCTGTAGGAACCAGAGAATGAGGCCAAGTGGCCAGGCTTCTGGGCATCCCCACTAGCTTACAAGGTAACCTATGTAATACTTCATTTGGAAAAAAGCAAAAAGTGATTCATTGGTGCTAAAAATAACAAATTCTTTGAAAACTACTAATATCCAGAATAATACTCATATTACAGATGAAGAAACTGAGGCCCAAAAGAAGTCACTTGTGTGATTTGTCCGAAGTTACACAGCAATTTACCAATATTGACTTCCTTAATTCTCATTAACCCCATGAGGAAGATACTATAACTATTATCCCCATTTTATGAAAAAGGAGACTGAAGTACATGCAAACATAGATTTAGTAACTTCCCTAAAGTCACATAGCTAGTAAACGGCAGAAATGGAATTGAAATTGAGAAGTACACCCCGCCCTCCACCTAGTGCAATCTTAACATTATAAACCTGTAATCTCCAATCATTAAAAAATCCAAATACAAAGAAATTAAATAAAGTATATATTTTCAAAGAGTTAAAAGTGATACTATTTATAGTAAAACTGTATTTAGATATAATTTATAAAAATCTAGTTATAAGCATATACAATGTAGCTTTAGACACTTTATTTTCCAGCACACACAAGATATTTCAAAATCTAAAGAGTAAAGTTTCAAAACATTAAACAATTTCTACCATTTCAGCATCTAAAAATATATATATACATTATGTTCTCCTAACCTTTTTATACAAGTGCATATTAAATCAAGAAGATCTCTCTTTTAGAATTTAACCAATATTGAAATGATTCTAAAATGTTTCACCTAATGCATGCAGTTAAGGAGAATTTTCAGGACTACTTCAGAACTAAAATAAACCAAGTATAAAAGGTTAGAAAAAAATTTTAAAAGGATATGCTAACTTTAAAACAATTTGAATCCAAAGGTATTTCAAGAAGAAAAAAGAAGTTACCTAGAAAAATCCTTATCTACTTCATATTCATACTTCATCCATGTATCTTGATATACTGAAAATTCCATTATGGTTAATAAAGCCATTGTGGTAAATGCTATTAGAGAAACTGAGAAATGAAACAAAAAACCAGAATTAAAATAATTTTTAAAAAGTAAACAGGAAACTATTTTAAGTGAGATTAAAATTAGCAAAGAAAGCCCTTATATGATTGCCATGTGAATGGATACTATAAAAGGTTTTTCTTAAAATGTTCATTATAGATTTCTTTCTAAAACAGCTCAAAAATGAAGATTTAATGAGCACAAACATGAACACAAACATTTCTACTATTGAGAAGCATTTTATCTCATCAATATTAAGGGTATCTCACTAAATAGATTTGCCAAATTTTACAAGACACAAAATTTTTCCTTTCTTGTATATAGCACTGCCATAGACATGATAAATGAGGAAAGTAAGCATAAGTCTTACACTACAAATTTGAAAGCAGTTCCCTCATAATTAAAAACACATCCATGCCTGTAGCCAATCTATAAAAAAACTAGACTAATTCTTAGCTCTTGAGAAGCCATGACAATCTGTGTACCAGAAACGCAAATAACATCTCCAAATCTCTAATAAAATTCTCATCTACTTTGGAATCTCCTAAATATATCACCTCATTTATAAAAGAAAAGACCTGACAAAAAGAAAAGAACTATCTTATACTGTGACAAAATATACTTAAAATGGATTGTGCAACAAGAACTTGCACTTTTTCATTAAAAAAAAAAACTTAATCACAGGTTAGAAATAGCAAGCAACTTAACTACATATTTTACCAAATGAAATGTCAATCTTATGTGAAATATTTTATTAGCTCTTCATGGGGAAAGAAATAATAGTAAATACTGTCATAGTCGCATATTTTTCTTATATATTTCATATTTGTTTTATTTAATGAACACTTCTTTTTGTGCCAGGTACTGCATTAAGCATTTTTTAAATATTAATTTACTTAATCATTAGAGTAACCCTACCAGGTAAATATTGATATTATCCCCATTTCATGGAAGAAGAAACTAAAGCATAGATGGATTAAGTAACTTCCTTAAGGTCAAGTAGTTAGGAAGAGGTAGAGGTGGGATTTAAATCCAGTCTGGTTCCAGAGTCTAAGCTCTTAACTATTACCTCATGCTGCCTCTCTCTAGTAATATGAAACTAAGAATTTCTATTATAATGTCTAAATTGATTTATTCTTAACCAAAATAGGACTGAAGCAGTTTAAGATCATTAAATAACTTCTTCCAAGTTCAATTCTATTCGTATATAATTATACATAACTCAAGAGCACCAAAGCAGTAAAGTTGGATTAATTTGTTCAGCAATGTTTTAATAAATGCTGCTAAATGCATAGACTGCACTGGGTTTAGGTGCCAAAGAAAATATACATGACAATAAAATTAGGGCAAACAGTGTGACATAAGGACAGACCAGTCACAAAGTTATTGTGCAATTCATTGATGAGTTCTTCTTCATGACTACATTTCTGTATGTTGTTGACTGGCTCCCTAAGAAGCTGCACTTGAAGGAGTTTTAACTGGAACTGATACTCACCTGTACCCCCACTGGCTGAAGTCTCTACATAGCTGTCAGGAACCTTTGGAAAGGCATCCAGCTCTTTCACCAAACTTAAGGTTTTTTTCCGATTCAGTCGCCTCATCTTCAGGAAAACCTTCTTCTTTCATATAGTCATGCTAAGGAATAAATAATGACTAAATGAATACTCTAAAAAAGATACAAAGGTTTCTTTTAATTTTAGATAACTGACAAATGTTGTTGGAACGACTTAACATTTTCACTCCTCCTTGAGAAAAAAGCTTAATGCTTATACTCACCTCTCCTTTCTCCATCCCACCCTGACAAAACATACTAATGAAAGCCAATTTACACACACACATTAAACAGCAAAAAAGTGAAAAGCAATTCACATTCATAATATTTAAATATACAAATTAAAATAAGAAATAATTTTTCTTCTATTAAATTAGCAAGTATTAAAATACATTCCCACTAATAGATGACAATGAAATAAAATAGATATGCTAATCTATTGCTAGAAGAATATAAATATTCACCACTCTCCTTTTGACTAAGTAAATTCCCTTTTTAGGAAAGTATCCTGAGGTAATAATCTGGTTGTCACCAAAACTTTGATTATGAGGATAATTCTCATTATGAGAATAATTCTCATATTGTTATTTTTAAATATCAAAGAAATAAAGAAATGCTGGGTAGCAAATATACAAACTATGGTGAATTAAAAGCTCTGAATATATGTAAACACTGAAAATCTTATAAAAGAAAACATTTAATGACATAGGAAAACACTCATAATACATTAGGAAAAGACTAGAAGGTTGTAGAAGTCCAGTTTTATGGGAAACGGGAGGAAAGATACACAAGAAACTGATTCAAAATCTATATGCAAAAATGTTAAAAGGAAATCATGGAAGGATTTTAATTGTCTTTTTAACAAAATTTTGGACTAAGTTATCTATTTTTGCAATAAAAGTATTATTTAAAAATTGACTGCTTGGTATTCTTTTTTTGACCAGTATGCCAACTATATCTAAAATATGTTACAAAGCCATAAAAATAACTGAATTCTCAAATATTCATATAATTTTTAGAAGACTGATTTATATAAATAATACTATAGGTGATACTATAAAGCATTACTAGAAATCAAAGTTGTATTAATAAAATCAACACCTAATAGAATAAATCAAATGGTTGCAGGAGCCACTAAAAGAAAAAGAATTTCTCTAGAAGAAAGCAGACTCATCTGAAATCCAATGGGTAGAATTAATATAGAAAGAATGGGCCACAGAAAGGACATTTGTGAACAAAAAGGAGAGTCAGAGAAGTAAAAACTGGCAGTAATCATGAATACTGTCCAAGAGACCAGTCCCTAACCAGGGGCACTACTAATCAGTCCACAAGGGGGCTACTGCTCTAAAGTGAAACTGGAAGCATTAATATGTTGATTTCATTTGCTATTAAAAACATCCAACTAACTTCTCTTTCCTATTCCATATGCACAACATGGCCTTCAGATTATAATTTTGCTTTTCATGTGTATGTTTTTCTTAACGAAAAAAGAGACATGTAGACATGACAGATGAGTTTCTGATCCCCATGACAATTATAAAACTGGTATTCTCATTTGTAAATTAAGCTTCTGAGTGTTTGTAGGCATAAGCTGCGCTCCCTACGTTTATTAAACTCAGAGTAATCAAATTTATTTTCTGTACCTGCTTAGTGGTAACTACACCAAGATTGATTCTTCTTCAGTATTTCAATTTCTACTCATTCCTATTGGAATTAAATATTAAATATGTTCAAACCTCTTATCTTTAGAACAAAACTCTATATTAAATCCAGCCCAACTCCAGCTATAGATCTCTGGCTGCTTATCTATAAGCCAAACTTAATAGAATGAATTGTTGGGGCACCTGGCTGGCTCAGTCAATTGAGCATGTCACTCTTGATCTCAGGGTGGTAAGCTCAAGCCCCATGCTGGGGGTAGAGTTTACTATTAAAAAAAAAAAAAGAACTGTCCCCATTTGTACGCTGTGACTACTTCCTCACTACATGCTCACCTCTTAACTACATTTGATCTGAGCTAGGTCATTAACAACTTCTTTAGTATGAAATCTTATGGACATTTTTTAGTCCTTATCTAATTTTGACTGAAAAAAGTTTATCACTTCTTTTTCTTCTTGAAACAGCATCTTACCTTGGCTTAAGTGATACTATATTCCTGATTTTCATTCTACCTTGAAGACCTTCTTTGGCTTACTGTACAGATTCCTCTTCCTTTCAGATTCTGCACTTGGTGCTCCTCCCAACCTCCACATTTTCCCCCAGTGATCTCCCAACCCTACAATTTCCATCTACATGCTGATTCCTCTCAAATCTTTATTCCCAGTACAAATCTCTCTGCAGACATGTATATATTTTTCTTTCTATGACATTTTCATTGGGTCATTCCAAAGACAATTCAGCCTCAATTAATTGCTTTTTTAATTTTCTGTTTTCTCCACTGTAGTGTTAGAGCCGGAACCTGTCTCACTTGATCTGTAGATCTCCAACACCTGGGACAGGGGTATTTAATAAATACTAAGGGGAAAAAAGGAAGGAGGGGAGGGAGGGAGGGAGGGAGGAAGAGACATTCCCCAAATAAGGAAGGAAGGAAGGAAATTTCCCCAGAAATACCCATGACACCACAGCTTTCCAATCAAAACAGTTATATAAGTAAATATATAAAAATATAAGATCCACAAGGAGAGGAATTTTTTTTTCCACTCTAGTAGTCCTAGTACTTAGAAGAGTGGTTGGCACATAATAGGTATAGATAGCATTGTTGAGCAAATGAATTAAACTGAATTTTACTCCTAAACTTTATTTTTCTAAGCTTTATAAATTTCTTTTAAATTACATATAAAGATATGACAGCAGCTAGTTTTACAAACCTTCTAACAATTCATACAGCTTATTCAGCACTCCTCCCCCTTGGCTACTTCCCAGACTCTATTATCTTCCATTCTTATTTTCCACGATTACTTTTCTAGAATGGAGCACCTTGCCACTCTGCCATTCCTGTCCCACTCCTGTTAGATCAGGACTAACCTACATCCAAGAAACTCATTCATTCCATCCTCAGTACTTGCCACTCTACTCCACAGAGCCACTGTTCTGATATGAACAAATTATCCAATAACTTCTAGTTTTTCTAAAAGCATCCTTTTACCTGCTTTTTTCATGGAACTTGACATTCTCCTGGTGGTAATTCCCTTCGAATCCTTACTTCATTTCTGAGACTCACAGGGTAAAGCAGCACATGTTTTATATATCATATTACAGTTCCTCAATCATCTCTTCCCTTCTACTTCTAATAATAATAAACACATATACTATACAGAATTACAGCTTTCATACTATGTGTTAGGTATTATTTGAAGCATTTTATATATTTATTCATGTAACCCCCTAAATGACTCTATGAAGTAGATGCTATTTTTATTCTCATTTATAGTTAAGAAACTGAGGCACAGAACAGTCAAGTAATTTTTGCAGGGCCACACACCAAGTGATAGAACCTGGATTCGATCCCAAGCAGCTTGGCTCCAGAGTCCATGCCCCAAACCAGAGTGTACACTGACACTTCAGTACATATGGTCATCTTCTACTAACATCTGGATATATTTAAAATTTCCTTAATGACTCTAGCACCTGGATCATTCAATATGCTTCTCTTCTTCCTCATTCCATCACAATCCTTGTAAGTCATGACCCTATGACACTCATCCTATGGCATTCACTCACAATGATAACGCTTTTACCAGGTAAGTGTAACTGATTTTCTATGCCAGTGACTTCCATCTATGCAAAGCCACACACAAGCAAGACCAGGTTTTGGCTCCTCCTAAATTTTAAAACTGCTCCATCTCTAAAATCTAAAACACTAATTTTCCTCTGTGAACAGAATCAATTATCCTTCTGGCTCTTTAATTTCCTAACTAGGACAGAATTTGTTCTTCATTATCCCTGTGTTTCCAATCCCTTGGACTTCCTCCAGTTATCCAGTTCCACTGCTCCCATGCCCAATTTATATGCTTCTCCATCTAGCTGGGTCAGCCATTTTAAAAAATGCATTTAGAAATACCCTAGATTGGGGCACCTGGGTGGCTCAGTTGGTTAAGCATCCAACTCTTGGTTTCAGCTCAGGTCATGATCTCAGGGTCGTGAGATCGAGCCCCGCATTAGGCTCCATGCTCAGGGAAGAGTTGGCTTGAGACTCTTTCCCTCTCCCTCTGCCCACCAACAACCCCCACCCCCCTTGCGCTCTCTTTCTCTCTCAAATAAATTTTAAAAAAAGAAAAAAAAGAAATTCCCTAGATCACTGGTTTCCAGAATTCATTGCCATTCTGTTATAAAATTTTCTTTTCTGAACCTTAATGAAAAAACCAAAGACAATATAGGAAACTTTTAAAGCTAAAACTTTTAAAGCTAAACTTTTAAAGCTAAAATTTTCTTTTCTGAACCTTAATGAAAAAACCAAAGACAATATAGGAAACTTTTAAAGCTAAATTTAAAGCTAAATTCTTGTATCTGAGATTATCTCCTTCCTTTTTTTTAATGTGTCAAAATGTCCTTTCTTTTATGAAATGATAAAAGTAGATAAGAGGTTTTTGTTTGTTTTGATTTTTGGATTAAAAACTGCAATTCTACATCAGTCCTCAAATGCAGCCCCTTTTCCTGTTCTGTTTTGGTTTTTTTCCTCTATTTTGCGTACTGGTCCACAAAATCTAAAAATTTAGGAGCCACTGCATTTGATTCCTTTGCCCACTGGTTGGTGCTGCTCTTCGTACTTTCCCAGTCTCCAGTAACATACCTGTTTTCTTCAATTTCTCCCCTAAACTGTCATGTATATTAAGAAGCAAAACAAAGTCTAGGAAGTCATTGATAACAGCTGAGACTAAGACAATGTTTTGATAAACTGCCTAAGAAATAAGAAACCACCTTTCATGTTGGAACACATATTATCATCACTCAATCTAAGTAATGTCATACAGCCCATATTTCATCATTGCATCCATTTGAATACAATGAGACAATCAGATTTTGCCAAAATTAAAACATAGAATTCATAACACCTTTTAATCTGCTTAAGTTTAACTACTTCTCCAAACAAAAATGGAGAAACAATTTTACTCCTGTTACCCACATTTTATGAGCTAACTTCTATTTTTAATATATATTTGGCAATATGAGAAACATTTAATTGGTTAATATATATGACCATGTTGACCATGAAGTATGTTCCCTAAAAGGACACAATGAAGTCCTAATCCTGGTGTTTGTGAATGGGCCTTATTTGGAAATATTTGGTGGGTCTTTGAAGATGTAATTAGTTAAGATGAGATCATACTGGATTAGAGAGGCCCAAAATCCAGTGACTGGTGTTCTTTAAGAAGGCCAGGTGAAGACACATAACCAGGAGAGAATGCCATGTGAAGACAGAGGCAGAGATTAGAGGGATGCACCCACAAACCAAGGAGAGCCAAGGATTACCCAGATGCTACAAAAGGCAAGGAAGGATTCTTTCCTAGAGCCGTCAGAGGGAACATGGCCCTGCCAAGACCTTGATTTCAGTCAGCTAGGCTCCAGAACTCTGAGAGAAGACATGTTGATGTTTTTAAGCCATCCAGTTTATGGTAACTTTTTACAGCAGCCCTATGAAACTCACACAAGCCATTAATAAGAATGAGAAAGGACACAGAACAGATATTATCCAGGCCATCAATGAACTTCAGAAACAAAAAGCAAAACAATAACTTACCTGTAACTTTCAATTACTTGATTATATTGCATTAGAATACACTAAAATTTTATTATGAAATATAACTTAGTTTCACTTGACAAATACTAGATATCCCCCCAAAAGTACTTATTCTTTTCACTTTAAAACTTAGACTTTTTACAATAGAGTTCATGTTGTTTTTAAAATCATTTACCCCAACATAATTCAAATAAATCTAGTAAACTTCCAAGTGATTTTTTAAAAAAAGTATACTTGGAAGCTGAGTAAGATGGTATAAATATGACTTTTGTGACCCAAAAAAACCTGGGTTAATAATATCTAGTTACTTACTAGCTATGTGACAAATTTGGAAAGATCCTCAACATCATAGAATCCGCTATTATATTTTACTTTAAAAGGAGGGAGGGAGGCATAATGGCTACCTCACAGTTTCTAACAAAGATAAAAAAATGAGTCATTTGGTAAATGTTTCTAATTCTCAAAAGAAATGCAAAGATTTGTAGAATATTTGGAATTTATATTAAAGTCCTTGAGGAAAGTGGGATAGTATCTGAGATTAGTTACTAATATGAATAGACTGAGGATGATATAAACTGATAGAAAAGCTAAGAGAAGAGGCTGTAGAGTGATGGCAACACAACAATTTGGAAGTGCCTAGCAGCAATGTGAAGCAAGGATAAATACAGTCTTCCTCAAATAACAGCTTGACTGTACTAACTACTCAATAAAAGTGTACAAAACTGAAGTGGAAAAGGTCAGGAACACATAAAATACACTTAGAATGAATGTCTCCAAATACAAGAATGGGCCAACAAGGCACCAAGAGCAGAAGAACTGGCCTAGACTACAATAAGATTGTATGGAGTAGTGGAAAGAAGGAATGTGTACCTTAGTAATTGACAGAACAGCATAAGAAAGCAAGCCACTGGAAGATGGAGTTTAAAGACATATTAACCATATAGAAGAGTATTTAATCACTTTTGGGATCAGAAAGAAATTACATTAAAAAGCATCTTCTTCAGTCTGTATTTTGACTAAGTACCAAGGCAACGTCTTGTGAGTAACTACAGAAGTTAGGAAACAAAAATTTTTAAAGAACAATAGCTAATATTGAATGAATGGTAACTGTATGGCATTGTTCTAAGGGCACGTGTTAACTCATTTAATCCTCACCAACAACCTTATGAGTAAAATGTTGTTATTGCCATTTTGCAGATAAGGAAACTAAGACACAAAGAGGTTAATTTGCCCATCATGACATTAAACGGCAGAATCAGAATAAATACCGAACAACTGTTAAACAGGATTTGTTAGCTGGCGGACTAAATGTAACTTCCATTAAAAATAAGTTTCACTATTTCTTCCAATTAAACCATTAATCGCTAAAGAAAATAAATTTATACATTTTTTCTAATTTTTTTTTTTTATGTTCCAGACTAGGCCTGATTTCCTTTGAGAGAACTTTCAAGCTTGATATATTTTTATGATCTGTACCCTCAAGCCATTTCAACTCAGTTGTGTACTAAAGTTCATTATCAAAAAAAAAAAGACAAAAAACTACTCTCTTCCCCTTCCCCCCTCCCCGAAACCATGAAATTTATTTCTTCTCTAGGAGAACTGGAATAATTGCATCAATTTAAAGATATCTATGAACAAAACAAGCGTACTCCTGAATTCTTCAGTGAAGAAGCCTGACTCATTTCTTTTAACGGCTATATACCAGAGTTTAATGTATCAGGCTAGGCAATTACTTAAATAAAACTTCAAACAAATGAACAAATCCTGTTTTTAAATGTATCTCTAATTGCTTCTGAAAGCCAGTCTTGCAACATTTTAACAGATATTATGTAACTTTGCGTTAAGTCTTGAGGGCACTAAATCCTAAATATAAAAGTTAAACATGTTTTCCCAAACAATGACCCAATCAACCATATACACTATCTATACCCAAGGCTATTTTCTACCACGAATTGACAAGTTACCTTCCGAAGGTAGGTAAAACCTCGAGGGTTTAAGAAACCTCGAGGGTTTAAGAAAAGTAGTGACACTCGACCTCTCTCCTAGAGCATCTCGCCAGCCGTGCCCCTTTCTCATTTCCCCAAGCGGCGTGCGAAACTCTTTCGAGGCGAGGCCAAGACCTCGGTCTTTCTTGAAAAGAGCAATCTGCTGCCAAGAATTTGGTATTTTCCTGAATGGGGGTGGGGAGCCAGACACCCGGGAGGATGGGGACACGATCCGGCTGGTCTTCACAACACGGGACCCTTCTCAGTGAGGACCAGAAGAGCCATCGGGGCACCGGACACCGCGAGGAGCAATGGGTCAGGGTCAGCCGCTATCGGAGAAGCACTTAAACTCCTTCAAGTTGCAGGATAGGCAGAGAGACACCGGACTGGGGAGAGGGGAGCTCCCAGGCGCAGCGCTGCCCAGGGTCCTGCCAGCAACGCCCCCGGGGGAGGTGGAGCGGCTCCCCAGTCCGGCCCTCTCCCCAGAATGATGAAGACAGGGAGCCAAGCCGATGACAGATTCTCAGCCTCCTTAACCACATTCACGCCCTGAACAGCCTTGGAACAATCGGGAGAACAACACCCGGCGGGGTTTATTTTACCTTGTGTTACGGTATCAGCCGACCGCCATATTTCACAGAAGCCCGGGTCGCCCGGGCTCCCGTTTACCCGAAAATATCGCGAGAACAACAGCGACAACCACCGCTGAAAACGTCAAATGGGAGACAATATAGAGTTCTCGCGATATTCCCTTTGCTTACGAAATGCTTTGTGAATCAAGAGGTGTGGTTAAGATGAGAAGGGTGTGGCTAAACAGAACGAAGGTTGAAACCTAGTTTAGGTGTAACCACGTGGCCAGGAAGCAATCAGCTTCTCCAGGAAAGAGTGGATTACCTTCCAACTGATAGTTAACAGACCACAGAATGAATCTCAACTCCTCACACTTTACTTAATTGCTAATGAGAGACTTGGGAGCAGGATTTGTCATTTGCAACCCTAATGCGTATCACGTCTCCAATCTGCATCATGTTTTGTGCCTTCTGTTTTTGCCTCCTTATTTTCTCCCGTCAAGAACGTTTAAACTTCCTTTTCCAGACATAGGTAATGCTTTCTTTTATTTGTTCAGTTTCTCTTGACTTTCAGATAGTAAGCTCCCTAAGAAAGCACGTCTGTCTTCCTTGCCTTTATATCGCCAATACCTCCTATGCACTCAAATATTTGTTAAGAAAATTAATACTGGTACAGGAGACAATTCCACTTCCGTGCCTGGATTTCTGAGGTAACACATGGAAAATAACTTCTTGGGAGTTTCTCTTTACTGTAGTAAATTTTGGACAAATAAGAAATAAACTTCTATTAGGCACTGAGATTTTGGTATTGTTACTGCAGCAAAACCTGTTATTGATACAGAAATCCATAGTCTGGATGGAAAATCCATCTGAATTTCTAGTTTTTTAAATTGTAAAGTTAGGATGCCGATTTGAGATCTTCCTTTTATTTTCATGTATTTATGACTATAAATTTTCCCTTAGAACTGCTTTCACTGCATCCCATTTTAAGTTTTGATATGTTGTGGTTTTGCTTCATTCGTCTCTAAATATTTTAAAATTTCCCTTGTAATTTCTTCTTTGGCAAAATTGTCTTATTTTTTATTTTTTATTTTGGGTGTATGTGGTGTGAAATAGGGAGTCCAATTTCATTTTTGTCCATATGAACAAATAATTTCCCAGTTCCATTTATTGAAAAGATTTTAAAATAAGCTTTTAGAAGTAAAATTTCTTCCGTAAAAAAAGAAAGAAAATTAATACTTTATCTTTTCCTAACACTTTGTAGTATAGAGGTCATAAAGGGGAATTTGGAAAGAAGGGATAAATGGAAACTGTTCGAGAGTAAGCCCAGCTGTAGTCAGATTTTCCAATCAAACATTATGATTTTAATTTTGTGGTTTATTGACCAAAGAAGTCTTACAACAGCACAATAACTAATGTTTATACAACAAGCACTAGTTTTTTTTCCAGTAAGCACTGTTTTAAAGTTTTACTTGCCTTATCTTACTTAATCCTTACAAATGTATAAAGATTATTGATAAACCATTATTTATCAATAAATACAGAAACTGAGTCAAGTAGCAATTAAATGATATACCCCTAGTCAGAAAGCTGGGAGAGGCAGAGAAATCTTGACCACATTACTAAACTGCCCTTGGAAGGAGGAAGTCACACAATTTTATTTAGTGAATTAACATTTATTGAATACAAAATTTCACTAAATTGAAACTATCCCAGAAAATAAAAGCAGATAAAATGTTTCCACTGATGCAATTTCATTTCCAGACTTTTCATGTCAGTGTTATCCCTCCTTCACATATTTAAGAAAAGGTTTATTGTAGTGGGTAAGAGTGGGGTTAGAACTTCCCGGGTTAAAATTCCAGTTCAACCATTTACTAGCATGTGACCTTGGGCACATTATTTCATCCCACTTCCTCACCTGCAAAATGTCATGATAATATCTCATATGATTGTTATAAGGACTAAGTGAGTTAATAAATATCTAAAGTGCTTCTTTATCTTACCCACAAAGGTACCAGCAGCCCTTTCGTCTTTGTGGGTCTAAGATTACATGGGCTCTTGCTTGGATGGAAGCTGGCTCTTGTTCACTTAGTTACACCTGATCATTAGTCTCCAGACTAATCTACTTTCAGGAATAACTCTCCCATAATAGTTGGATTTCCCAGTACTGCAAAACTGACTAATTTGATCCTGCTTATTTAAAAAACAACTCACCATTTTCCAAGCTACCAAATGAATACAAAATTAATTTCCCCTGAAGCTTGAATCTCAGCTTAACTTTAAAGAGGTGCGAATACTTAATCCTATGTTGTTGGTAGTGGATTTATATCTGGAAAATAATTTGCTTCCAAAGGAAAAAAATCCATTCCATTATATGTTACCTGCAGAAGAGAACCAGGAGATAGGTTTTAAATTGGAATTTAAACTGGTGCTAAACAACCTGTATTTTGTACAGATGCTCAAAGGGTTTTTGAGCATCTGTACAAAAGGTATATACAAATACCTCAAAGGGTATTTTCATGCTGTTTTTTTTCTTTGTAGTTTGAGTAAAAGTTTTAGCAAGTTAGCAGCAAAATTAAGATAAATATATATATCTTTTGCTATATATATACATATATCGCTATATGAATGCCTCAGAAACACCTCAAATTCAATATATTCCCAAGTGGATCTTATTATTTATCCCCAAATCTATTTCTTCTCTTCTGTGCCTAGGAAAGTCAAAGCCACCACTAACCTCAGATTCAATCAGATTAGATTCCTCTGTGTCTTCTCCCCCTCCTCACTAGCTACTGATCCTCATGACCAGACAGTTCCTTTTATAAGACTCTTCTCAGTTTCATGCTATACATCAGGCCTTCATTTTTACTTGCTTCAGTTATAGGTCATTATCAATGTTAAACTCAAATTTTGTATTTACATTTTTAAACATTGTTCTTTACACTTTTTTTTTTTAAGAGAGAGAGCAAGCACATAGTGGGGGAGGAGCGGCAGGCAGAGAGAGAGAATCCCAAGCAGGCTCCTTGCCCAGAGCAGAGCCCTTCACAGGGCTCGATCTCACAATCCTGAGAATCATGACCTGAGCTGAAATCAAGAGTCTTTCACTTAACCAACTGAGCCACCCAGGTGTCCCATCCCATGCTTTACACTCTAAAATAGATTTTTCATCTGCCAAGTTGGGACTTAAAAATCTGAAATCACTTTTCATGTGCCAAGTTTAGATTTTGTACATCAGCTAATGGATAAATACTGTTAAGTCTGTGTGTAGTGGCACTATTTGCCATTTAATAGCTCTGTTTCAGTAGAGTTACCATCAAGATCTATAAAGCATTGTGCAGTATTTCGGCATGACTAATAATGGATCGAAGGGACCACAGATCACTGTGACCTGGCCATTCATGGAACAAACATTCACTGAGTACCTTCTATGTGACAAGTGGTGTGTTAAGTACAGAATATGACCTAGTGACAAAGCAGACAGCCTGGCCATCATGGAATTTGTACTACATTGGGGTACACAGGTACCAAGTAATAAACCCCAAAACAAATATGCGACTGTGGCTGGTCATTCATCTTAATAGTTATTAACACATTATCATCTTAATAGTTATTAGTAAACTATTTTAATAGTTATTAATAATGTATTATGTGTATTCACCATGTTTTATTATAGTGTCCCATAAATTTCAACCTAACAATATCTAGCTGAAGTTCATATTTTATGCAATATCATTCTCTACATTGATTACAACATTTGAATCTGGTGTTTTACTTTTCATTTCCAAATATTCTTTCACGAATATTTTTTATCTTTGCATCATAGATATATTGTCTTGTCTATTTGATTAGCTATTTTTGTGAACTGTCAATATTTTAAAATAAATTGTAGCTCTTTTATATTAAGACTGTTAAACCTATTACTAATTTCATGTTAACAGTAGATGAAATTCTTTATGTAAGTGCCTAGAACATAGCATTATAAATACTTTAATGCACTATATTAAATTAAAAAGAGGCAGCATATTTAACTCACATACTATAGTCAAATTTTGATTTCAATAATATGACATAAATAGAAATGTCTGCAAGCTTTATCGCCTATCAAGCTCAAATGCCTTCAGGCAGGTAGCATATGTGTCTCATCCAAAGGCTTTGAAAGTCAAACTTCTTTAGAACACAGTGCTGACCTCTGAAGACACAATGTAGCCTCCCAGACCAAATGGCTGATAACCTGTGTAACAGTCACTACCTTATTTTCATCTGTTAATGTTAATATTCATAAATTCATAAACCCAGATGAAACTTGGAAGATAATATCTAAGAACAAGCACATTTGTATGTGTCTTTATGCTTGTATAATTTTTATGTACATGGCAAACTGTCAATTGCAAAAAAAAAAAATTACAAAGAAAAAACCAGGATGCTATGAGAGAAAAAGTCAGCTTTCAACTGAGTAGAGCAGAAGATATTTTTCCTTTTTCTGATGTGGTTATCTAACATGGATGTTGAGCTAAAAAGATGAAATAATTTCCATCCCATATATGAACTATGTCCCTACGGGTGATTTTTATATCATGTAAAAAATACATAAACAACTAAATATATAAATAATATATGGTCAGAATTCAGACGCTTTGACTAAAAATTATGAATATATACCTTACTATCACTGTTCAAAAGGACCTAACTAGACAAATACTTTTATTAAACTTGTTTTTCTTTTCTTCATTTTTAAAAGATTTTATTTATTTATTTGAGAGAGAGAGAGCACAAACCGGGAAGAGAGGCAGAGGGAGAGGGAGAAGCAGACTCCCCGCCGAGCAGGGAGCCTGACATGGGGCTCGATCCCAAGAGCCTGGGATCATGACCTGAGCCGAAGGCGGCCGCTTAACTAACCGAGCCACCCACATGCCCCAATTAAACTTGTTTATCTAAGTAAAGGATAGTTGAGTCAAGGTAGTAAGGTCCCCTCCTCTCTGGGTCTTAGAAGGAAAGAAGCCAGTGGGACATCAGCATTCCCCCTTGCCCTACCACACTTTCTCCTGAACTAGGCTTTGAGGGAGTAAACTTGGTCAGAAGTTGATTTCCCTCTAATGGAAGAGAGTTAAGTTGGGGGAACCCCATTAAA